TAGGGGACAGCGTCAGTGTCAATCGACCTAGGGGACAGCGTCAGTGTCAATCGACCTAGGGGACAGCGTCAGTGTCAATCGACCTGGGGGACAGCATCAGTGTGTCAATCAGCCTAGGGGACAGCATCAGTGTCAATCAGCCTAGGGGACAGCGTCAGTGTCAATCAGCCTAGGGGACAGCGTCAGTGTCAATCGACCTGGGGGACAGCATCAGTGTCAACCAGCCTAGGGGACAGCATCAGTGTGTCAATCAGCCTAGGGGACAGCGTCAGTGTCAATCGACCTAGGGGACAGCGTCAGTGTCAATCAGCCTAGGGGACAGCGTCAGTGTCAATCGACCTAGGGGACAGCGTCACTATCAATCAACCTGAGGGACGGCGTCAGTGTCAACTAACCGAGGGACGGCATCAGTGTCAACTAACCGAGGGATGGCGTCAGTGTCAATCAGCCTAGGGGACAGCGTCAGTGTCAATAAGCCTAGGGGACAGCGTCAATCAACCTGAGGGACGGCGTCACTGTCAATCAACCTGGAGGACAGCATCACCATCAATTAGCTTGCAGGTGTACATTATGAGTGCATTCACCTACAGTCAACTCACATTATCAATAATGCCGTTCCCTCCCGCCAAAGGGTGCCATGAGAGCATTACTGTAGCCCTAGCTGCAGAGGGTTAGTACTTTACTCTGCATAAACATACGGGTGTGAATTACAGCACTTCAACAGCCCATCCCGTCAATCCCCCAGCAGCCTATGGATGCTCGCTGTCTTGGCTGGATGCCATGGATTCCCCATTGTGCTCCATGAAATGCTCTCCACGGCTTATTGTGCAAAGTGGACCTAAACGGAGGCTATTCTCTTTACAAAAACAAGCAAGCGCTCGGCCCAGCACCTACAGCTTGAGCTGAACATGCTCTTTCCTTTGCAATTTTTTTTATAATATCTGCATAAGTTTTAGCCAAACTAGCCCTGGCTCTGTCTTGGCGGGGTGTGTAAGGAAGTCCGGAGTGCGCCCAAATGGACAACAATGAGAGCCAGCGAGTCGGGTGTGGCTATTAGCACAGTCCCGATAGTCTTATCCTCGTCCTGGGTGGCTCCTCATTCCCATGACTTCACTACAACTTCTGACCAGCAGTTCGGTGTAAGAAATGACAAGAACACAGAACAGAGCAGCCCAGAGGAGTGCAGTTGAAGTTAATCAGTGTCACCAGCTCCCCAAGACTATCAGAATCAATCCAATCAAGCAGAAACAAATTTTGAGAAAACATCCATACAAAAGTGTTAAATTCCTAACACACTTCCTACTGTCTAAGGATTTTTAGAAATATACATATATTTTTATCAAAAGTGACCTTTTATTATTGGGTGCATTTTTTTGGACGGGGCTCAGAAAGCTCCGGAACCCCCAAAGAGTCAAGGCAGCAGTGTATCCATGGGCCCCAGGGATGCTGTAACAAATTCTGGGGCTCCTGACAAAATGCCACTCACTGGGGCCCCCTGCTGTCCAAGGCCCGGGAAAACATTTATGTTCCCTCCTCCCCCGGACGATACCACTGGTGGTATCCCAGAGGGCAAGGCACGCGACGAGCACCCACATGTCCACCCAGCCGTGCTCCCCGATGATGTCCACAGCCTTAACGTGCTCCCCGGCCGAAAGATACATCTCGGCGGCCGCCCGGGGCTCGTTGATGTTGCGCGCCCAGTCGGCCTGCTTGCTGATCAGCATCCTGGTGTCCTTTGGATCTGCAGAGCCCAGGAAGTCCTGCATGCATCAGAGAGAAGGGGTGAGATCATGCCGCTGGCTGCAAATAAGCCGCAGGCGTCGCCGCAGCTAGAGTTTCATTTGTCACATACACAATCATACACTGTAGTTTTTGTGTAGTGAAATGTTTTTCCACCTGCTTCCTAAATCTGAGGGACTCTCAAATAAATATAAAGGAGCAAAGACAAGCAAAAGGCAAGAACCATAGAACACATCCTGTAAGAACCATCCGCCCCCATGACGCCTTGGGAGTTACAGCCAGACCCTCCTCTGCGATAAGGAGCATGGGCTGTAAAGCAGACCTCACCCATAACCCACATATTTTCCCATTAAGTCAGCAGCTGATTTGGTGTCAGAAGACTGCACAGTATTCGTGTGTGGTGGCCGGAATAAAGGGGAACAAACCAAAACAGAAGAAGGTCAAGCAGCTTAGCAGGCGTGGGGCATTGGGCTACAGGGGAGTGAAAGGCGATGTTCACCAGGGGCGCCCGTGAGCACAGTGTGGCTGGCCCCCGCCTCACCTTGGCGTACTCGAACATGCGCAGGTCCGTGTACATGCTGAGGGCACGGCCCTCGTTGCCCGTTTTCTTGTATAGCTTAGCGGCCTCGTGGAATTTGCCCTGGTAGGCATAGACATCCGCCAGGAACAGCTCGCTGTTGCTCTCCCCTCTCTTCTTCCTCTCCTGCAGATGCGTCGGCGAGAACAAATGCGAGCTCCGTTACGGTGCTCTGTAAGACACTAAGCGCACAGACTCACCCCACAACGTGTGCACACATGACAGTCAGATAGGCGCCCCCAAAGGGAAGGCCACCCTCGCTGTGTGAACGCAGGTGGGCTCATGACTGCGGGGAATGGCTCATCCTCTCTCAACTTAGACTAAATGCATATCATTGACAGGCATGTTTTACTGAAGTAAATGGCTGCCTTTATTTTCCCCAATGCTATTCTGGTGTCTGTTATGCAAGGGAATGGAATGCCTATCTTTAAAAAGCTGGTAGGAATCCTAAGGGGATGGAAGAAAAAGGGGAAAAATGTCTTTTTTAATGTGTTTCTGCTTGGGGTCCAGAATCTGTGTATTCTTACACATTTTCAAATAAAGTTGGTGACACCACAACCAAAGTACAAAAATAATCAGTTTTGTTACATATAAAAATATAAAGTACAATGTCAAAAAATGCTATAAAAGCAAAGGTACTCCTGCTGGGACTAGACTCATCAAATAATCCCCCCGTGCCTTTTATCACTCAGACATGTGTTATTACGCTGCTGGAGCCCAGTCAGACAGGACTTACTAATCTTCACAGGGACGTAACCCAGCCTGCACCGTCACAGGCTAAGGCCCGAACCGTCCTTAAACTGGCACCCATTACCTACTGGGGCCATCTGAACATCTGCTCTATTACAGTGCTGAACATTTTCACACTGTGACTTAAAATCAACGCTGCATTAATAAAAAGCATAATGCTGTTAAAGGCAGCCCCCTGAATAACGAATTCCCAGTCAGGGAGAGCACTTACCTCGATGCTATTTATGAGTTCCAGGTAGCGCAGATCACGGACGCGGATGAATGCCTGTGGGGGGGGGGGGGGCACAGAAAGTGAACATGCTCTTCTGGGAGGGATCCGCTTTTGCTGTGTTAAGCGAGCCGCCATTCATACTCTCTCAGTATTTTAGGGATACTCATTGTAGTGTAACCCTAAACTCCCTCAGCGTGTACTTCACTGAGGCGTGGAGAGTATTAAAGTGCCGAAAGAGGCTAAACCGTGGGCGACTGCTGAAACAACGAGAGCGAGCCAGCAGGCATCTGCGGGTTGACAGTGAAAAACAAAAAGGGTCCTTGGCTACGCAAAGCATTTAGGCTGAAGTTTCTAGCCGTCTCAGTGCCAATCAAATTACTGACTGTCTGGATGGACCGGCGGCATATTAAAGAAAAGGCACAGCACTGCCATCTAATGGTCATCTGAAGTATTTCAGAGAGGGGTCCATTGAGGGAAATTAAATGGAATTGATTTTCGATAAGGATATTGTAATACATAAAAGGAAACGAATTCTCTAGCAGTATTTCAACAGAATTTTCAGCAGTAAATTGATCAATTGAATGACTTGGAAACAACGTGCACAGGGAGCATGGAAGTGAGACGGACCTTTTTAGCCGTGTCAAAGTCTAGCCCTTCCAAGGCCTCTGTAGCCAGGTCCCTCCAGTCGCTGTCGGTCACCCCCAGGCAAGCAATCTGATAGGCCTCTTTGTAAAGCTTCCTCTCCAGGTACTGGTACATGGGAGCTGACTAGGAGGCAGAGAAGAGAGACTTCAGCACCCATTCCTCCACCGACCCAACAGGACTAAAAGTAGAGAGATTTAAGGGCACCCTTTCCGCATCAAGAATGTTTTAGAGAGAACATCTAAACTGGCAAGAGCCTCACTGATGCCTCAGTAAAATCCTGGCTCGTATCCGAGGTGCAGCAGAGAATTTGTACATTTCACTCAAAATGACAGACACAGACACACACACACACCCACACACATGCATATTCTACTGCTTAACCAATCCCAGATATACGCGAAAAGCTAGACATTCAGACACAAACAGACAAACACATCCATACTAATGCAGTCACATCTGGCCAAAAGCTCCTCAGCGCACACAGCCTGTGGCCCAGCTCCATGAGCCGGTGTCCTGGCTCTGCTGTACGTGCTGCCAGCACTCGGGCACCGTGGACGAGTTACTCATCTCTCCTTCTGGCAGTTACTCGGCGCTACAAAAATACCCATGTAGAAACAGAAACCTACAGAGCTGGCTTCCAAGACTGCTACCATGGCAACCGAAAATGGCTGCCCTTTCGGGGCACTGTGATAAGATTCGAGATAGATGAGGAACAAACATGACCCTGAAACATCACTTTTAAATTTTAACAGTGGAGATTCACCAGGATCAGGTTGGCTTGTTTGGCATGAGGATGAGCCAATTTGAGAAGCGGATTACCGCTTTGTCTCTCAGGTCCGATCCATCAGTACCTGCGGCACCTCCACCGCCGACATGGAGTAAACGTGCAGGCAGAAGATCTTGGAGCCGCTGTAGCCGACCACAAAGCCCTGCAGCTTCTGCTGGTGCACGGGGAAGTTGCTGGCCTTGATGTTGAGGTGGCCACTGCCGGAGAAGCAGAGCATGTCCTCGCACTGCGTGTTCCAGGCCACGCTGTTGGCATTGGGCTCCTGAGTGGGGGGTGATGAGGGGGGTAGGAACAGAAAGCGATGACATGCCGTCCACACCAAGAGCAGCCCACCTCGGTGCCTCATGTGTCCTCTCCAAGACATCTTCACAAGTGCGTTTCTGAATATAGCTCAGTCTCACGGTATAGAGTGTACCATAGGTTAATGTTTCCTTCCTAGAATCGGTGGGTTTAAAAATGGTCTACCTGGAAAAGCAGCTCCTTGGTGTGGATGTCATAAACCAGACAGGTGTTGTGCTCGTCCACCACAGCCAGCTTGCTGCGCGACGCGCTCATGTCCAGGCAACGGACAGAGGTGGACTGCTTCAGCAGCGTGATGGCAAACGGGTTGTCCACAAAGATCTTCAGGATCTATAAGAAGGGGAACAATGCAAAAGCCATCCTTGGACGCAGTTTTGTGCACTGATGGGCAGCTTTGCTTCCGTTGAGGGCACTGGATTACATTTACATTCATTAACCCTCATTCAAGGACTCCTAATATCTACAACATGGCAAGATATTTTCAATGACTTACGCAATCATCAAAATTAAAAAAAGATAAATGTCTCAATCCAAGTCTATGAAGATGAACAGATATTTGTTTGAACATACATATTATATACAATTATATACAATATACAATGAAATATACAGTAAAATCTAACAAGACTATTTTCATTGCTTTCATGGGGCATGAAAATTTAGAAATTAAAAAATGTCACGTCGACATGGTGAAGCTCAGATATGGCCCTCCACAGAAAATAACTGCCCAGACCTGATCAACAACGATGATTCTCAAAAGTAATTGTCGTCATATTTTAAGAATATGAGGTCATCTGTCATCAATCTGGTCAAGCTAAATTTTACAGCAAAATAAAAAGGAAGAGTTGGCCTTCTGCTAATAACACAGCATGTTCCTTGAATATGGAAAGACCTACGGCTCCATTCTTCAGGCCAACCAGGAGCCCCTCCCTGCCAGGGGGGCCACCGATCACCTTGATGTAGCGGATTAAGGATTCCATCAACCATTCCTTCTCTTTCACACTGTTGAATGAGAGACACTGAAGCCTCTTCTCCTGCGTGGGAGAAGGAGACCTGGTCAGGTTCGCAGTGCATCTGTGCTCTCGGGGAACACAAGCCTCAAAATATTACAGAGCAGTTCAGCTTTACTTTTTCAGAATATTTTCTCACATGAAATGAGCCAAACTGAAGCTACAGACAATCACAAGACAAAGTGCTTCCAGTTTTGCAGGTCCTAAGGTTCACTTATGCTGTCTGCGATATAACAAAGCCATAGAAATACAGCACAGATGTGGCCTTTAAACTGGTAAAATATTGGGTGTCTTTCTATTTCTGTACTTCCTGAGGGAGCACTGTAACAACACGAAGCAGCCGGCCAAATGGAATGTTTCTACAGCATTTTTCAAAATATGTAATGTCAAACAGAGGAGATTACTTTGGGCATGTGTTTGCAACTCACAGCAGAATTCACATAATGAAGACTAAGGATTCCTTCATGCACACACATGAAAAAAAAAACAATAAATAGTGTTGAAACAATTAACTGGGGTTTGTAAGTGGCTCTGCTGGGTACTTTTCCCAATCAGAGTCCAATATCCCAGACTACAGTGGAGATCTGGACTGAATCGCGCGTGGACTGCCAAAAGGGGCCCCTAGTGGTGGAAAAAATGGGCTTCATTCCATGTGGAGAGAGAGTGAGAGAGACGCAGCACTCCATGTGCTTATGAGTTACTGGTTAGCAGTGGTGAGGGCTGGCCTGCTCATTCTGTCAGCTCTTTGATCTAGTGCACGGAAACACTTGGCGGGCAGGTAAACATAAGGGCTCCCTGCTGCCCCCTGGCTGGAAACAAGGTGGCCTCCAACAGACACTGTTGTGAAAAGTGAACTTTCAAAAGCCTTTATAAAGCTTTCCAGAGGTATAAAAGCAGAAGCTCTGCATGCCGACCTGGCAGAGGATGATGTGCTGGGAACAGACCACCAGCAAGTTGCACTCAAATCTCCTGTTGATCTTCTCCTTCACGCGGTAGTGCATGTCTGATGAGTCGTCTGAGTAGAGCTCGTAGATGAGGATTTTCTCAGGCAGCTGGATGGCCAGGCGGTTCCTGTAGATGGCGATCTTCTTCACCAGCTCCCTGCACTTTATTCTCACTGGGGATGGAACAGGAAGCCTCCTTCACACACAAGCATCTCCTACGCTCACCAGGATTCTGTATAAATCATCCATGCTACAAAATCTCCATGACAGGACTTGACTACTGCAGCGTCTCAAATGACAAACTGTTCACACGAAGCATATTGCTAACGATAACTCAGCAATGGAACACAACCATAAAATAGTATTCCCAAGTTATAGGATACTTATTTGCACCAAATATGTGAATCTGAATTAGATTCCTATTAACTCGGACATTTACCCTTTTGCTCAGTGATGAGATGCTGTACAATGACGTCAGTCATGCTGTCCCTGTAGGCATATCTGTCTTTGTAGAGACCATGAACCGTGCTGAAGATGAGCTGGTAGAAAGCGATGGTCCCGTCCTGGCATCCCAGCACCTGAGAGACACACAAACGTCCCGTAACAGTTAGATTCCCAACGTACCCAAAACTGCGAAATCAAAGAAACTCAGATACTAGGCTCTAGGCTCCTCCCACTGCTCCCTTTGTGATTGGCTGTGTCAAGCGAAACAGTACATGAGAATCAAAGGCGGTTAAAGGTAATGAACAAATCAACAGGGCATCAGAGAATGCAGCCAGTCTGCTTCCCAGTGTATCAGGCCACATGTAGAAAACACGGCAAGGCAAGAAAACCTATAAATCTAAGCTAAATTTAATGCTAAAAAAGTCTGCCATCATTACTACCAGAAGTACAGCTTATGACATTCCATTCACCTGAACTGATTTATCCTGATTCAATTATCCCGATTAAATCTAAACCCAACTGTACAAGAATGGTCCTAACAAAAGTGCGTTTTATATTAAGTTTCACTGCAGGAACTCAGAAATACACCAATGTAAACTCAGCATCAAGTGCTGCTATAGAGCCTGTCAAGAGAACCCACCACATAGTTGGAATCAGGTTTGACTCTGCAAGTCCAGACCCAAGAGTTCTGCTCCCCAATGGTGCCCAGGCGAACGCCATCTTTGGTGTAGAGGGAGGCCTGCTTGTCAGAGCCGCCCATGACAATATACTCGCCCTTGGAGAAGTAACTGACACAGCAGGGATCGTAATTCAGGATGCGGTCCTTTCCAATCTGCAAGCAGATGTATATTGCATGTTATTTTTAGAAAACCTAAAGACAACAAGCTAAAGGAATAGAAAGTCAAGGCACGTCTTTGTGTGTTTATGCATTTTACACTCACACCGAACCCCCAGCTTAACCCCAGGCTTTGCATTGACTCCTCAACTCTCCTGTGTTTATTTTCTAATGCCACAAAAAATGACATTTTGGGACTTACACTGCACAGCCCTCCCCTCACAAGCCCATCTGTGAAGCGGAATATCAGCTCTCCACTCCACACACCTGTTTCCCTTCAACTGAGACATCATGGGCTGACACTCTATGTTATTTCTGGCTTGAAATAGGAAAAGCCATTTGAACTATAAGCCCACATCCTTTTTAAATGACTCCCCACTGGTTCCCCAGTAACAGCAAAACATCAGACCAACTTGACAGCAAAATACAATTAGTGATGCCAGTGGACATTAACACTGAAGATAAAATATGAAGTAACATATATCTCTTTTAAGGTTTAAGCTAAAACAATAGTTTGATAGGCAAAAATGATCAGTAATAAATGACTATTTTATCTGTTCATAACCAATTTGTAGAGCCCACCATGTGGAAGTAGCTCTGGGCCGATATCTTGCTCAGGATTGCAACAGCTGTATCCCATCAAGACTCCTATCCACAAGCATGTCAGTCTTTATCTGTGTAACTGCAGACACCCGAGTGACCCCGGTCCCCCAGCCGGCAGGGCAGGCCGTGCCGCCATGCTGCTTCATAAAGGGGTTCTGTCAAGCTCTGAGAGAGCGAGCACCGCTGGATCTGTGAGCTTTAAAGCCACCTGGGCCCCCACCCCACACAACTGACCTACCAGAAGCACCCATCCTTGCCGGCTGTAATTCAAACATGTGATCAGATGTGTCATCACCGCCCCCGAAGCCTTTTACCTGCTTCCCGCTGAGCTGGTAGAAAGACAGCCTCTGCCCCCAGTCTGCCACTGCCAGGATGTCGTTGTGTTCATCCCTGCATGAGGCCCAGAGAGATGCTCTTCTGTTCACCACGCACAGGTTGCTCCGCATGTTTCCTGACCATTACATCAGCTATTCGCATCACAGTCAGGGCCAAGCAGCATGGCACCAATAAAGCGAATTAGCATCCTTATCAAACTCAGGGCACATTTTATTACACTCCAATGAGGACATGACGATGACTTCAGTGCATAACTTAGCTTAACACAGGCCCATAAAAGTCTTTAAATACATCTTCCATGCCATCATGCTGACTATAATGCATGCGATACTTAACAGAGGTGGGTCACCCAGGGCTCTCCTCATACAAATATTACTTCACCCATCCAATAATTTTTCCAGCCTCCTACTTTTGACAGATGTTCCTTCCTGTTTCTAAAATGGGCAAAGCCAATAAATACTCTTCTAATGGAAATCGAAGTATATTGAATGACACTGTGCGAAATCTGCCTGTCACACTGTACTAAATGAGGCCCTGCAGGCTGATTTGATAGACGCCTCTGGAAGGTTCTGCAGCCCATGTGACTCCACGGGACCTGTCACTCTCTGCGCAATATGCCATCAGGAGTGTCTCCGGCAGGCCGCACGCCTCGATCGCCGTGGTCTCCACCACGGAGGACAGCTGCCTCATACAGCTGCAAGGCACCATGCCCCCTCACACCTGATTTAACTGCACCTATGACAGCCCCACAGCCTGCCGGGGACAACACATCTACTCCACTCTCCATAAATTATTCATAGGAGATGCTGGCCCTCTGCACACATGTGCTGAAATCTTCTGTGTTTCCTGCATCATTACATCTGAAGCTCTAAAAACAGATAAAAATATAAACAACTAAGACAATTCATGTATGAATTTATTAGATATTCTGAAGACAAATATAATGAACATTTAAAGGCTGGATGATGTATGTTTCCCCTTGTATTTAATGACCCACAAACATAATCTGTAATTTCAGAACATGCCAATCGATCAAAAATCCATGAAATGTATTATTTATATACTCTAAACAGAGATAAAGCCAAAAAAAGAGAAAAGCAAAAATATGCCAAAAATGAGCCTAACAGACCAGTTTACAACACCATTCATGTATAATAAACATGGCACATACTTTGAGGGATTCCAAGTAATTGACCAAATAGGAGATGAAGAACCACCAGGGCGCTCGATTTTCACCTTCTCCTCCCCATTCTTGTTGCGGATGCTTACCACCCCATTCACCATCCCCAAGGCAAGGTACTGACCATCATTGGTCCACCTAAAGTCACATGACCACATCATGACCACATCAGTGCACACTGAAGTCATTGCTGATTTTCAAATGGAAAGGTCAACAAAATCACAAAGAACTGCAGTAAAGAAATTCACTGTGTAGTTACTCATAAAGTATCAATTACTTCTGGCTGAAAACACAAAAGGAGTGACCTGGATAGCTTGGGCTATAAGTAAAGCCTAAAACTCACCCACAACACGTGATCTTGCTACTGACTTTGTGCTTGGATACAGACTTCTGTTCTGGAGACCACAAGCCTGGAATTAAACACACAGAACACACTGAATCAACTGCAGAGTTACATTTCCTCTGGTCAATTATGTATTCTCTATATGAACTGAAATTAAATTCCTGTCCTTCATTCCGCCCCAGAAAGGTAGTGACAAATAAATCCCATTAACTTACCAAAATCCCCTGAAGAGCAGGAGGCCAGCTGGTGTGTAACAGGGTTGTAGGCAACACACTGGATTGAGTCATTGTGTCTGTATCAAAACATAATGTAACCTTATGTAACCTTGGTTTGTCATATTTTATTTTCATAATTCCCCTAATATTGGAAATTAGCATCTGTAATACCAGAGATATCTTTATTTTCATTCACCGTGTATTAACAAAATACTGTATGTCAAGGGTTCCAGGGGGTTTTAGCTTACAAGGCTTTCAGGTTAGTTGTCACAGATCTGTTTGTGACCACCCTTTGATCCTGTACTGGATACAGGTTGCAAAATGGATAAATGGATGTTTGCGGCCATCCATCCATCCATCCATCTATTTACTTCCGCTTATCCGAGGTCGGGTCGCGGGGGCAGCAGTCTCAGCAGGGAAACCCAGACTTCCCTCTCCCCGGCCACTTCATCCAGATCCTCTGGGGGAATCCCGAGGCGTTCCCAGGCCAGCCGAGAGACATAGTCCCTCCAGCGTTCCTGGGTCCCTCCAGCGTTCCTGGGTCCTCCCCGGGGCCTCCTCACAGTGGGACATGCCCGGAACACCTCACCAGGGACGTCCACTTGGGGAAGGACCCCCTCCCCGACCTGGAGAGAGCACTCCACCCTTTTCCGGCTGAGGACCATGGTCTCAGATTTGGAGGTGCTGATTTTCATTCCAGCCGCTTCACACTCGGCTGCGAACTGTTCCAGTGAGAGCCGAAGGTAACGGTCTGATGAGGCCAACAGAACCACATCATCTGCAAAAAGCAGAGACCTAATCCTGAGGTCACCAAACCGGACACCCAGACACAGGTTATGAACAGAATCGGTGATAAAGGGCAGCCCTGGCGGAGTCCAACCCTCACCGGGAATGAGTCCGACTTACTGCCGGCAATGCAGACCAAGCTCTGACACCGGTCGTACAGGGACCGAACAGCCCTTATAAGGCAGTCCAGCACCCCATACTCCCAGAGCACTCCCCACAGGACTCCCCGAGGGACGCGGTCGAATGCCTTCTCCAAGTCCACAAAGCACATGTAGACTGGTTGGGCAAACTCCCACGCACCCTCCAGGACCCTGCCGAGAGTATAGAGCTGGTCCACTGTTCCACGGCCAGGGCGAAAACCATACTACTCCTCCTGAATCCGAGGTTCGACTATACGATGGACCCTCCTTTCCAGCACCCCCGAATAGACCTTACCAGGGAGGCTGAGGAGTGTGATCCCCCTATAGTTGGAACACACCCTCCGGTCTCCCTTCCTAAAGATGGGGACCACCACCCCGGTCTGCCAATCCAGAGGCACCGCCCCCGATATCCACGCAATGCCGCAGATGCGTGTCAACCAAGACAGCCCCGCAACATCCAGAGTCTTGAGGAACTCCGGGCGGATCTCATCCACCCCCGGGGCCCGGCCACCAAGGAGCTTTTTAACTACCTCAGCAACCTCTGCCCCAGAGATAGGTAAGTCCACCCCCAAGTCCCCAGACTCTGCTTCCTCATTGGAAGGCGTGTTGGTGGGATTGAGGAGGTCTTCGAAGTATTCCTTCAACCGACCCACAACGTCCCGAGCTGAGGTCAGCAGCGCACCATCCCCACCATAAACAGTGTTGATGCTGCATCGCTTTCCCGCCTTGAGACGCTGGATGGTGGACCAGAATCTCCTCGAAGCCATCCGGAAGTCATTCTCCATGGCCTCGCCAAACTCCTCCCATACCCGAGTTTTTGCCTCAGCGACCGCCGAAGCCGCGTTCCGCTTAGCCTGCCGGTACTCATCAGCTGCTTCCGGAGTCCCACAGGCCAAAAAGGCCCGATAGGACTCCTTCTTCAGCTTGACGGCATCCCTCACCACTAGTGTCCACCAGCGGGTTCGGGGATTGCCGCCGCGACAAGCACCGACCACCTTACGGCCACAGCTCCGGTCAGCCACCTCCACAATGGAGGCACGGAACATGGCCCATTCGGACTCGATGTTCCCCGCCTCCCCCGGAACATGGGAGAAGTTCTGCCGGAGGTAGGAGTTGAAACTCCCTCTGACAGGGGATTCCGCCAGACGTTCCCAACAGACCCTCACTATACGCTTCGGCCTGCCAGGCCTGGCCGGCTTCCTCCCCCACCAGCGGAGCCAACCCACCACCAGATAGTGATCAGTTGACAGCTCCGCCCCTCTCTTCACCCGAGTGTCCAAGACATGCGGCCGCAAGTCCGATGACACAACTACAAAAGTCAATCATCGAACTGCGGCCTAGGGTGTCCTGGTGCCAAGTGCACATATGAACACCCTTATGCCTGAACATGGTGTTCATTATGGACAATCCGTGACGAGCACAGAAGTCCAACAACAGAACACCACTCGGGTTCAGATCGGGGGGGCCGTTCCTCCCAATCACGCCACTCCAGGTCTCACTGTCATTGCCCACATGGGCATTGAAGTCCCCCAGCAGAACAAGAGAGTCCCCGGGGGGAGCGCTCTCCAACACCCCTTCCAAGGACTCCAAAAAGGGTGGGTATTCTGAACTGCCATTTGGCACATAAGCGCAAACAACAGTCAGGACCCGTCCCCCTACTCGAAGGCGAAGGGAGGCTACCCTCTCGTCTACTGCGGTAAACCCCAATGTACAGGCGCCCAGCCAGGGAGCAATAAGTATGCCCACCCCAGCTCGGCGCCTCTCCCCGTGAGCAACTCCAGAGTGGAAGAGGGTCCAACCCCCTTCGAGGAGACTGGGTCCAGAGCCCAAGCCGTGCGTCCCAAGAGCTAGCTTCTGCAGCCGAGGATCGGACCGCCAAGGTCCCCGCCTTCGGCCACTGCCCAACTCACACCGCACCCGACCCCTATGGCCCCTCCTACAGGTGGTGAGCCCATTGGAGGGGGGATCCACGTGCCTTGTTCGGGCTGTGCCCGACCAGGCCCCATGGGTGTAGGCCTGGCCACCAGGTGCTCGCCATCGAGCCCCACCCCCAGGCCTGGCTCCAGGAGGGGGCCCCGGTGACCCGCGTCCAGGCAAGGGAAATCGTGGATCCATGTTATAACTCATCATAAGGGGTCTTGTGAGCCGCACTTTGTCTGGTTCCTCATCCAGGACCTGTTTGCCTTGGGTGACCCTACCAGGGGCATAAAGCCCCAGGCAACTTAGCTCCTGGGATCACTGGAACACGCAAACCTCTCCATCACGATAAGGTGTCGGCTCCAGGAGAGGTGTTTGCGGCCAATTTCCACAAATTTTTTCAGTTAATTTTAGCCTCTAAACTCAGTTATTCCAACGTTCAGGAACAATAAACTATTAATCCAAGTAATTAGAGCAGACTCATTATCTGTTTATTAATTTTAATTTTTAACAAATCTTACACTCATTAGGTACTTTATTAGGTATACCTAATAAATAATAATAATAATTAATTAATTATTATTTATGTTCAATTGATTGATGAAGCAAATATTCAATCAGCCAATCATATGCCAGCAACCAAATGTATAAAAGCATACAGACACATGTTAGGAGCTTCAGTTAATATTCACATCAAACACCAGAATGGGGAAAAGGGAGATTTAAGGGACTTTGTATGTGGCAGGTTGGCTGCTGCCAGACAGGCTGGTATGAGCATTTCAGAAACTGCTGATCTACTGGGATTTTCATGCACAACCATCAGTACGGTTTACAGAGAATGGACTGAAAAAGAAAAGACATCCAGAGAGTGACGGTTCTCTGGGCAAAAACGCCTTGTTGATGGCAGAGGTCAGAGATGAATGGCCAGATTGGTTCAAGCTGGTAGAAAAGCAACAGTAACTCACTTGTTATGCAGAAGAGCATCTCTGAATGCACAATATGTCAAATCTTAAAGCAGATTGACTACAGCAGTAGAAGACCACAAGGGATGCCACTCCTGTCAGCTAAGAAGAGGAAACTGAGGCTATCAAAATCAAACAATGGTCAGAGTTGGAGTCCCGATTTCTGGTGCAGCATTCAGATGGCAAGGTCGGAATTTGGCAAAAACAACCTGAAAACACACATTCATCCTGCCTTGTATCAACAATTCAGGTTGGTGGTTGTGGTGTAATGGTGCGGGGAACATTTTCATGGCACACCTCAGGCCCCTTAGTACCAACTGAGCACTGTTTAAATGCCACAGCCTACCTAAGAATTGTTGCTGACCATGTACATCCCATTATGACCACAGTGTACCCAGCTGCTAATGGCTACATCTATCAGGATAACACACCATGTCACAGAGCTTATATCACCTCAGACTGATTTCTTGAACATGAGTTCATTGTACTCAAATGTCCTCCACAGTCACATCTCGATTCAACTGAGCGCCTCTGGGACGTGGTGGAGCGGGAGATTCGCATTATGAAGGAGCAGCCAACAAATCTGCAGCAGCAGTACGATGCTGTCATGTCAACATGGACCAAAGTCTCTGAATAATATTTCAAGCACCTCTTGAATCTATGCCATAAAGAATTAAGACAGTTCTGAAGACAAAAATAACCCAGTACTGGCAAGCTGCACCTAATAAAGTGGTCAGTGTATATAGTTTCAGTATTTGGCACTTTAAAATATTTCAGGTATTAGTATCTTTTTCACCAACATCTTTGCCAAGGTCCACATATTTAAACACTACTCCACCTACTGGTTCAAATTTAATACTGTATTTTTAATTCTGAGAGGATATTAAATGTTAGATAAATAAAGTAGAGGGCTGCAGTTGTGAAAACGCCTCACTCACGTGTATTTCAAAATGCCTTCAAGCTTCGACGTCCAGATTATTATGCTTTTGTCCGCTGACCCAGAGGCAAATCGTTTTCCTTAAAAAAAAACCAAAACAGATACTGTATAAAGCAGAATACAACATTCCCCCAGAATGCAACAGCCCCAGTTTTGAGGTGACATAAAGTTTTGTTTTTTACAGCAATCATACAGCAGGGAAAACTCACCATCTTTAGCATATGCTACACAGTACACTGTATCCTTGTGTCCTTTTAGGGGTTGTATAAGTGTTCCATCAGATGTGTCATACACCTGGAATATCAATCTTCACACTCATTATCAGTCCTACTAAGTGCCGTTAATACTGGCTGAGCGTAACAAAACAGCATAAGGTATCAAGCGAACTGTATGCAACTGATGCAACAACACAGGAACAGAAACAGAAAAACGCTGCACATACCAGCACCCGGTTTCCTGCGGCTACTATTAGCTGATTTCCATCGGGCTTGAAAGTGAGATCGTAAATACTGCAGAAAAGTGTTACATTACTGTCATCGGTCCTCGCATTCCAATCGTCATTTATATTTATTGAAAGAAAAAAGACTCATGCCAAAGTCGAGCAAGAATAAACGAGAGGCATGAGTCATACAACATTAAAATTACTCCTGTGATCAAGTAACGTAAACACATATCATTTGTCAAATCATTAATTTATACAAAATTTAATTTTATGTTATCTATAGTTGTTATGCGTGCCATACTAATATGAGCATACTTAAATTACAGTATCTAACTATATTAATCATAAAATACAGTTCAAACACAGTAATGCTCGCATCCGGATAAAGAATACAATACATATAACTATATTAAGTAAGAAGTTTGGTTTTCCTCCATATTAGCTAGCTTCATTGGTAACAACACCGCCATGATAACTGTAAACGATAGTTTACATAGTAACGGCCGTTGCTAAGAGGCCTAGCTAAATCTCAAAAGGGAAAAATACGCTGCTTACCATTGCTCTACCTTATCTCGGTCGTGTACTTTATCAATCCATGTGGGAACAGCTCTCATTATGTGTTTTAGTGTGTGTTTTGTTACTTTAATTATGTAGCTCCAGTAAGCGCCACACTTCATCAAACGGTGACCGTCTTCAGCGCATGTTTACCTAGCGACACTACCCGAGTCTGCGCAGATGGGTCCACTCCCGGGGAGCTCTGCGCATGCCTAACTCAGGGCTGTCGTCAAACCCGCGCGGAAAGTGACAATCCGATGGCGATTGACATGCAATTTATCAGATATTATTGTATATAGTAAGTTCATTGTTCAATTAATGTACTTTTCATATACCAAATGAATGCAACTTCCTCCCAGCTCTAAAGATCTTGACAGACCTTAATATCGAGATACCGATTGTTTGATTTTAGTCTTTTTTCCTTGCATGGCGGAAGCAACCGGCGGAAACTGACAGGTATATGTCCTAGTAATTTCCTGGTTAACAACGTTAAGGCATCAAATCCCACAGTGTCTTTAAATGAATCATGTTTACATGAATTTATTTTAGCGGTTGTTTTTGACGTTGACGTTGCAAATCGTAAACTAATCAGAATGCAACTGGCAGTGAAGGAAGCATGGAAGTTTTTTTGTAATCAGCTATAAAAATCCAGATAAAGTCCGATTTATTTGTATTATTAATTTTGCTATGTTATTATCTTAATGATTTAATACAGGAGTTCTTCCCGAAGTAACCTCTTCTTTCTGACAATCATTGTAGAGTTCCTGATACAAAGTTATGATGGACGAAAAGTCAAAGGGATGCCCAATGGCAAACAGTGAGCAGAGGACCAGCATCAACACAGCTTGTGTAGACAAATTTGCCAGAGATGCAAAACGTATGGAAACTGCTGAGTGTAGTACAGACATAGACCATGTGGAAGTTACTGAGCTTAGTAAAGACACTACTACTGAGGCCAGTACAGATAATGACTGTATCATGTCTGTTACAAACCGCGTAGAAATCACTGACCACAATATAAACACTCGCTCTTTGGAAATAAATGAGCCCAGTACAGACACAGATCATGTGGAAATGAATGAGCCCAGTACAGATACAGATCATGTGGAAATGAATGAGCCCAGTACAGACACAGATCATGTGGAAATGAATAAGCCCAGTACAGACACAGATCATGTGGAAATGAATGAGCCCAGTACAGACACAGACTGCCAGTGTCCTACAATGCCAGAGGGCTGGCTGAAGGTACTCAAAGAAAGGAAAACTGGGAAGACAGCAGGAAAAATTGATGTTTATTTAATAAGGTATTGCCTTAATATTCATTTTAACTATTGGAATGCTTTCTCTTGATACTAATATAAAAAAACTAATTGCCAATGACAACATGGCTAGCCAGTACAGAGAGTGCTATTTAACAGGTGAATTTCATGCCGTTTAAGACAAGGTGGTCTAATGGGTTTTATTACCATAAATCTTAAAATTGCATTTTTATGTTAATGATGCCATCTACCTACAGCAGGAGTGGGTGATAATATCTACCAAACTGTGACGGAAACTGTAAACCATTTTCTCTTGTGAAAACTAACTTTGTGTTACTTATAGTCCTCAGGGGCAAAAGTTCAGGTCAAAATCAGCACTGAGAGCTTTTCTGCAAAAGAGCAAAGATTTCAGTCTTAAAGTGGAAGATTTTGACTTCACTTCACATGGGAATAGTACAGTGACATCTAACGGTTCGAGAAGGGAAAGGAGCTTGAAACGTTTAAAGGGTACGTCTGAAATCTCTGGCCAGGTGTCACCGGCTTTGCCTGTGGACAAGGAGAAATGTTCTAGTGGAGAAGTCCAATCCAAGGGCAGCAGGCCCAGATCAGCAGGCAGATGCAGTGGCAGTAAACATTTAAATCTAACACCTGAGACGCCACAGCTGACAGACTGCAGCATGGGGAATGCAGGGGAAGCTGAGAAAAGCAACAGCGAAAGAGGGCGTCTCTTCATGGAGGTGCCTGGGCTGCCCGTGTACACCTGCACTAACAGCATACAGAAAAAGACTCGGCTGACGGAGAAGCTGTTTAGGCTGACGTGCTCCAGCCAGCAGAAGGACAGTGGGTGTGCGGAAGCTCAGAGCCATCGTTCAGAACTGAGCCCTTCCCGAGATCGTGCAGTTTCAACCGGTGATGTACATCCTGAGTTTGTTAGCGACCCTGACACGCAAACAGAGGCTGAATCTGCATCAGGATTGTTGCATGAAAAGTTGCTGTCAACCCCTACGGCCACCAGGGGGAGCTTAACACCGAAGAAGCTACCTGAGAGCTGTAAGAATCCATCTTAGCATCACTTGAAGAACATGCAGTGTAAATATTAGTGCCATAATAGTTTATGGCAATATCAACCTATGAATAATCTTGTGATTAGTAATTTATAAAGCTATACATAAAGTAGAACTTTCTTTTAACCTTCTGCTAGAACGTCCACTTTGAGTATGACCTGAAGAGTTACAATCTACAGTTTGGCATAATGCCTGAATTATATGTCATCTTCAGGTCCTGGATTAAGGACTGTGACAGACCGAAAGAGAAGCCCCTACTTCAGCGGAAAGTCCATTAGAGATGGTATGGTCGCCATCCTGGGGGTGTGAACTGTGGCCTGTGTGGCACATGCTTTTATCTCACTGCTTCCCCCCTCCGCAGCACCGACCCCCCCCAGGCGCAAGGCCTTTAAGAAGTGGACCCCGCCACGATCCCCATTCTGCCTTGTGCAGGAGACTCTTTTCCATGACCCTTGGAAGCTCCTGATTGCCACCATTTTTCTCAACAGGACAAGCGGTGAGCACTTGGGCCAATTTTGAAGCACTAAACTGCATGTAGGACTTTGCTTTTCAAACTGAATTGTGTTGTGTGTTTTTTAAAGTATCTCTATAATCATTTACATTATCTACATCTTCATTGCTTAACATCATAACACTTCAGTGGTCCTATTCCTCATTTCTGGTCCATTCGCCAACAGGTAAGATGGCCATCCCGATGCTTTGGCAGTTTTTTGAACGTTATCCTTCCCCTGAAGTGACCCGTGCAAGCGACTGGAAGCCCCTGGCAGAGCTGCTCCAGCCTTTAGGCTTGAATGAACTAAGAGCTAAGACCATCATCAGGTTTTCTGGTAAGTCACAGTGTCCTTACAGTTACCTGTACTTCACAGCATTCAGACTGACTGATGGATGTACTCAATCACATACTCATTACACTACTCAATACTCAATGTGTAGGCGACAAGAGAGCAAGATGGGATATGAGAGGATGCATGTACTCGTAATTATACATATGGCAAATAAAACATTTTGCATTATTCACATACTCATTAAGTTACCCACTTGTTTTTGTACTGATATAGTCACTTATGTACTCAGTTACATTTTTGTGCTTTTGCATACTTGTTTACATATGTAGTCATTTATACAACTGCATGCTAAATACTCATTTGGGTGCACAGTTATGTATTTAGAAGTCTACCAGCAGTTGCTTTGTCTTGCTGATGCAATGCTGTAGGTAATTCTCACTACACGATCTAATTCAGGCCGTTTAATTATCAAGCCAGTATTTAACTAGGTAGCTCAAAAGTAAATATTTACCTTTAGTATGCCTTTTCTTTGAGACACAGTGCAGCCATTTTCTTTGCTGATCCCCGATTTGGGTTTTAATATAATCTAAGAACTGTCTGATCTTTCAGTTGATAAAACTGTTAAATGTGCCATTTGTGGAGATGGCTAGTTTCCTTCATACTTTACCTGCAAATCTCATAAACACTGAGTAAACATGGGATGTTGATGGCAGAAGTAAGACTTCAAAGCTCAGTGTGTGTTTTGTTAATCAGAACCCACGAAGAAGTTATTAAAACTGATTGAGTTCAATGTCAGAGGCTGAACTTGTCTGATGCCACTCTTTCGCAGATGACTACTTAAACAAGCAGTGGCGTTATCCCATTGAGCTTCATGGCATTGGGAAGTATGGCAATGACTCCTATAGGATCTTCTGTGTTGAGGAGTGGAAGCAGGTAAGTCGTCACCATTCAGAGAAAAACATAGCTTATGTCTGCCTTCTTTAGCAGTGAACCAGAAGAAAATCACCTCTTCAGATCATCTTACGCTACAACAAATTTCCAGCTTCTATGAGATGTCAACAGATGTGAAAATGTGCCTATGTTAGGTTTGGTGGTTATTAATGTCCTGAGTGTCACGGTATACAATCCACACGATTGAATATTTTTCATTGAGTCATACAGCAGTTGTTGGCTATTTAATCAGTTTCAGTCTTTTTTTTTAGGTCCAACCTCAAGATCACAAACTGAACAAGTACCACGCGTGGCTGTGGGAGAACCATAAAAAGCTGGGAATTTGAACTTCGATGGAACCCCGTAGAATCATTCAACATATATACTTAACATTTAACAAATGTATGTGTTTTAAAAAGTACAGGTTTTTATCAATGAAATAATGGCTCTATAAATCATATTACTTTGCTTCTTTTTTGTTGGATGAAAAATTTTAAAGGTTTGCTGAAATATATATAGCATTAATAAAGTGTGTTTTAATATTTTAGCATGCTTTTATTCTTTAGGATGCATTTTTTGTAGTTAATAATGACAGTTCAGAGTCGGATTGGTAGTTTGTAAGAAGGCAGAGCCAGTCAGATGCCATCCAATCCAGTGATGTATTCCTCGTGGAATTTCATTCAAGTTTTTGTGTCACAAATCACTTCCCTTTGTTTTTTGTTAAGTAGCACGTGCATGAATTGTGACTCACATATCTTGCTCCTCAGAATGAGTTTCACCAATATGTTAATTAAACAACACTGTCAGTCCTATAAGCCAGTGTTTCCCAACCCAGTCTTCAGGGAACCCCAGACAGTCCATGTTTTTGCTCCCTCCCAGCTCCCAGCCAATCAGGAACACCAAATACCTGGTACAGGTGCACTGGGAGCTGAGAGGAAGCAAAAACATGAACTGTCCGGGGTTCCCTGAGGACTGGGTTAGGAAACACTGCTATAAGCGACCGCCTAGGGTGCCAACTAACCCAGCCGATTTCACTTTGTCTCAATGAGGCTGCGCTGTTGCACCGTTCAACTGAAGGTTTAATTGCCTGGCTTTGTCAGTGCCCCTGTAAGTACTCATACTCACCCTCTGCAGTGCCGATACAGAACAGTCTGTATATTCCGTATAAAAATTAAATTCCATTAACAGTCTTTGCTCATACTTTTCTCCCACTGGGGTCTCAAAATGAACACAATTAAAGTCAGTGCAAAGAAATAACATATGATGCTCACCAAGAGTGCCACGTGAGCTGGGACTGGCCCTGTCGTTACTACGATAATTTGACATGTTTTGTATTTCAGTCCAGTACTTTTTATTATAAAATTTTAAGATGATACAAAGTATCAAATTGAGTCAATGAGCCCCTAAATATAACAGTATGTTACACAACTTATCATAAGCAGGGGTAATACTTCGAAATTCTGCCAGGGTATCTATGCCCCTCCGACGTCTCAATCATAAAAATTAACTCGAATCACTAATAGTTATCATTACAAGTTCTACAAGCCTGTTAATCTAGATTAATCATATTGTTAGTCTCATCAGTTTGTGTTAGTAATTGTTATATATTTCACACCACAATCTTGCTTTTGTCCAGCACAGTTCAGGACTAAACAACAAGCCAAAATATAGACAATTTGCTTGAAGAACTGGCACTTACAAAGTGGCTGGTTTAAGTCCCACTTCTTCGTCTATTCAAGACATAGGGCCCCCCCACCCCACCCCACCCAGGTCACAGAAGTTAGTTATTAAATGACTGACTTCAATGCTTCACTACCAGCATTAAGGTGACAGTCACTCAGACTCGCGTGATTTGGTACCTTTTGCTTGTACTGCATTTTGGCTTGTTGCCTGTTCCATTAAGGCAGCGGTAACGTGGAGGTCAGCACAGACTCGTCAGTCAGGCCTACATCACGCAGCCTGATCCCAGCTACTCTTGTGCAGGCCCCCATTTATTGCCTAACTAAGTCAGAGTAGCAAAGCCCCCAAGAGTGGGGAGAGAGGCACAGCTTTACAAAGTTACCCCATTCTCCAGGGCAGGATGACAAGAAAACACAGAGATGAAACTATCAAAGTTCATATTTTTAATAATAATAATAATAATAATAATAACAGCTGTGCTAAGAAGTGCAATTTTCTCGACATAATTGCGTTCCGTGAGGCAGGAGAAATGCAGGCGGTTCCACACAGTGAGGAACGCGGACGGACAGGTGGAGGAGGCCGGCGATGGCCGGGAAGAGGCCAGCGAGGAGAGGCAGACAGGAACAGGTGAACGTGGATGCCAACATGGCCCTCGGAACAGCCAGAACACATCCGTTTGTTCTTTATTGGTCACGTTGTCATTCCTAACACAGACCACCGTTTCTCAACATGGTCGTCAAGGACCCCCAGGAGCTGAGAGAGCACTGTGGACCATCTGCGGGTCCACGAGAACCGGGTTGGGAAACACTGTCATAGAGAGAATCAAGCAGGACAGGAACTGATGCTTCAGACATGAACCGGGGGTAACAGAACTCAGCGCTACGCCACACGTGATACACGCAGCCATTTTTCCGAACGGGTCCACAGAGAAGACAAGGAACAGCAAGATACACAGGTAGTAAGATGGACATGAGCACTGCATGGTGTGTGGAAACCAAACCAGCCATTCAACACACTGGCAATGAAAGCTGTGTGCAGACTGGAAAATTGACAAGAACACTGAAGGGGAGACAGAACTGAAGTAAAGGATGAGACCCACCAAGCACCCCAGACTCTAATGTCCGCTCATTACATCAGGTAAAAGGGAGTGTGGAGAGAAACACACACACACACACACACACACACACACACGTATGCATGCACAGACACCCCTGGACGGACACACAGACAAACACTCACTCTCTCTCTCTCACACACACACACACACACACACACACACACACACAACTGAGGCAGTAGGTTTTTATGGGTAAATTACTACACAGGTGTGCACAAATAATTCTGCATTAAAAACAACAGGCATAATTAAAGTCCCGCCATTCATGCTTCAGTAAAAAGCCTGTTTGAGCAAATCCTCCTCACAGCCGCAAAAAGGTTTGCGCCAAAAACACACTGGCTGACTGTATGGCTTCTCATGCACTCCCGACGTTTTCCTGGACGACAAAAGATCAAAAATGGTAAAAGAAATTTTCATTCTCAAGCTTTCACTGACGGGATCCTGGACTGAGAACGCCCATAGTCAGGGCCACACTCCAGTGACGCCTGCTGCCTCGCGCACTGGCCGGCCGAAGCTAAAAGCTACGCTGGCGATCAGCAATTTTCTGTTGCTCAGCTTTGCAAGTCTGAAAGATACAAATAAATAAATAAATAAACCTCTTGTGAGTGTTGAAATGTCCCAGTGTGATCGGGGCCCCAGAATTCCAAGCATGATGTGGGGCGGGGGGGGGGTGGGCTGGTGGTGTTCAGGCAACTGGCTACAGAAATTTATGACGACCCAAAAACTACACTGCAGTTAAGGACAACCAGCACATTATTACCCCATTGGCCTGCCTACAGTTGCAGTTCCACTGTTAATTTTTTATTTCTGAAATCTATTTCGTCCTCTCATCCCGAAGCCCCTCCACTCCAACCATCCCCCCCCCCAGTCAGAAGGTTAGCGCCCCCGCAGGAATCCGTCCAGCACGCGGTCGCCCTTCTCCGAGAGCCAGTATCCGGCCATGGCGGCCACGCCCCCGATGAAGATGGCGGTAAACACCATGTCGCCCTTGGCTGCCAGCGTAGCCAGGGCACAGATCACCACTCCGAAGAACATCTGCTGTAGCACCAGCACCTCATCGTCCGTCATGTCCTCGAAAAGCCCCTTCTCGGGTCCCGCTGTGGGGGTGGGGGAGGACACAGAGGCCTGGTCACCCTGGCTCCTGACACACAGCCACACCGTGGCCTGGATTTCATCTTTTAGCACAATTGCTACAGCCGAGAAAGTCCTCCGGCAGATAAATCTGCAAGATTATTAGCTGCACACACATACAGACAAATGCATGCATCTATATTTCAAAGAGGTACATCTACAAATACTGTGAATCACACATATGCTGTAGCAGAGTTGAGGACTGTGTGTCCTTGTGTTTCTGGCCGGAACAGTCATCACTCACAGAGGGGCAGGTTCTCCACGCAGATGCTGTCCCTGCGCACAAACCCGTCTGCGCAGTCGCAGTGGAAGGAGCCCTCCTCATTGATACAGGCCTCGTTCAGCCCCGGACATGCCATCGCCCTCTCGCTGCACTCGTCGATGTCTGGCGGAGACATGCAAAGCAGCCAGACAAGTCAAACTCTGGATTAATATAAAATCGGCAAGATTCGGCTAAATTTAAACAAAGGAATTTCATATTTTCATTCAGTTTGAATATTTGAAGCTACACCTGCTCTACTCAGCGTTTATCCTCCATCTACCCTCCTAACTTCATCTGCATCCACATGCCGCATTGTTTTATGCTCAGTTACGATTGCAGACAGGCTCACCCAGACACTTGGCCCCCACCAGCCTGTACCCGCGGGCACACTTCTTACAGCGGGCTGGTCCGCTGCCCATGCACCCCACACACGCCTGGTCACAGCCTGAGAGAACACACAGGCACGTTTATGTACAATTCAGGCAGTACAACCAGGGTGCAGTCAGGCCCAGCAGCCCTCAGCCCCCTTCTGGCGACGAGCTTCCTACCCCTGCACTCATAGGAGCCATCGGTGTTGAAGCAGTACGTGTTGGAAGGACACTTTGCCAGCTCAGTGCCACATTCATCCACGTCTGGAACAGTAGAGGGCGCAGGTGAGTAGAGCGTCCAGAAACGCACACGGGAACATCAGCAAGTCCAAAGATATCAAGTCTCCCAGAGTCACACAGAGGGTGTCAAGAGCACAGGCCATACTGTCCCCAAGAAGCACCACGCTAGGGCGATTCTAGTGCGCCGATCAAGGGTACAACAGCACAGCCCTCAAGGGACTCGAAGAGGCTCGGGCGACTCACCCACACACTTGTTGTCGTGGAGACTCCAGCCTGGCTTGCAGTCTAGGCATTTGTAGTCCTCCGGTCCGGTGCAGTGTTTACAAGCGCGGTAGCAGGCTGAAGACAGCCAGCGGCCAGAAGGAGAGACAAGGCGTCACACATCCAATGGGTCTATAGCACAGCCTGTGCCGAGATGTTCTGATAGGACGAGCAGGGAGGCGGCTACCTGAACAGGGCGCCACCGTGTGGTTGGAGGTCTTCTCCCTGTAGTAGCCGTCGGCACACGCCTGACACAGCTCCCCAGCATAGCCCGGGTCACACACACATTCACCGTCTCCGAGGCGAGTTCCTTCGCCCTCACACCGTCCCAAGCCCCCGCACACGCCTCCGGGACCCCTGGGACACTCTAGAGCGAGAGAAGCCGACAAGCTCACAAGGGGGGGGGGGCACCTTTCAGTTAGGCAGAGGATTCACATTAATGGGCATTTCTTTACCTGAGCATTCAGGACCGAACCTGCCTTCGGGACAACACAACCGAAGTTCATCAATGCAAAGCCATTCGTAGAGGTCAGGTGCCTCCTGCTGCCTGCAGAGTGAATAACAAGAAGGCATTTTAATGTATTAGAATAAGTTTATTTAAAGAGTCCAGATCATAAGCAACATTAACTAGTTTGACATGACTGAATGTGACCATTGTCATCAACAACAACTCAGTCAACAAAACCCTGCCGTATAAAACAATGAGTGGATTTAAAAGATAACAGGGCTGAACAATTGATCAATTTCAAATCAAAATCATGATTTGAAGCAAAGGCTGTGGTTTAGGATTTGCATTGTACAGCACATCTGACTTAAGGTTTAAAACTCGTGAGAACCAAATTCATGCCATCCTCCTTGTGTGACAATCATTCTCACCAATCAGAAGTGCAATGCTCATGACATCACTAATATAATACTAAATATACTAAATAATATACTAAATAAGAACCACTGGCCACGTATCAGCCCACAAAAATACACGTGACACTCAAGGAAAACGTTATTCGCATTGTGAAAAAAAATATTGAATCCACTGCTGAGTTGTAAGTGAATTACCTGCGGAATATCATGGTCAGAGATAGTTTACAGAAAAGTCATATTGTTTATGGAGTGATTATTATGACTTCCACGGTTGTGTAAAACAGTCCTGTGCACTTGTATTTTAGTTTTGTACACCCGTGCAGTAAAGTTTGTGTTTACAAAAAAGTTTTTGTAATAAAGTACTTGTGCTTTCAAAGTCACAGATTTGCAATTTCTCATGAACTAATATTTTCAGAAGCCACGTTACAACTACAAATCGGGATTAAGTGCACAAATAGAGAAGCAAACTATATTTAGACTTCTTCTGGTCCAGAATGTGTGTAAATGGAGGAGCATTTTAATAGCCAGGCGAATCCAGCCAATAATACCCAAAACAAAAGATTTTTGACTAGCTGTCATGCTTTGAGCAGCACAGATCCACGCCCGCATGCTGCTCAGTGTCTGGCAGTAAGGGTTTTACATGAGTCTGTGCACTTCTAATCCCGATTCATAGTTGTAAACTTGTAACGTAGCTTCTGAAAATATTCGTTCATGTGATGTTGCAAATCTGTGACTGAAAACACAAGTACTTTTTTTACAAAAACTTTTTTGTAACGTGGCTTCTGACAATATGTTCAATAATCAAGTTGCAACTCTAACAAACAAGTGTAGAATTATTATTATTATTTTTTTTAAATAAAACAAACTCTGCTGCACGGGTATAAAAAACAAAAATTACAAGTAGGGAGATCTATTTTACACAACCAAGGAATTTTGTCATAATCACTCCATAATTATTATGGGTCCATGCAGTGTTAGCTGTAGAATCCCCATTTTCTTTTTGCTGGAATTGTTTCATTTTTTTTATATTATTGCTTTGCTTAAGTAAATCTAGTCACAGCTTATGTGATAAATGTATAATTACTCTCTGTTAATCTAACTGTTGTTTACGTGGGACTTTCAGGAACGCTTTACCAAGGGTAAAACGCGGTCCAGTATTGTTAGCAAACGCGGTACTTAAAATAATACAATCACTTTGCTATGTTTGGATCGTTAGTGAACCGGCGCTTTTTGGCAAATAAATGACCATGACAGTAATTTTGCCTTAAATTTATAGTAAATTATTGCGGACAAAGAGTATGTGGCATAATCTGGAAACAGGGTCCACACAGAATCATATGACCTTCGTCATTATATGACAATGTAAAAAAGTTCAGTTTGTTTAGAAACTGGTCGTAGTGTTCAGGAAAAGGGTATTCAGTAAAGGTTTGCACAGTTACGGTTACTTGTGGCTTGATTTTTAAATATGTATAAACCGGATCACTAAAGACATGAGGTCATGTACACAAGGGTTAAAAAGGTACAAAATACATGCAGGAAGCAATTCACATGTTTAAGTTCTCATCCTTGCATTAGAATATAGACCAGCTAATATTTTGTGGTAATGCTGCGTCATCTTGTAAATGTATCACACTGAACACTGAACTGAAACTTAACTTTTAAAAAATGACATCGCAAATCAAACTGCAATCGCAATATGTGTTAGAAAAATCACGATTAGGTATTTTCCTCAAATCGTTCAGCCCTAATAACGACAATCACATTACACGTACGCTATAAAACAATGATCAGTTTAGCTGAGGTTCTAAAATGATATACAGGAAAAGGTCAGACCAATACAGCATCTCATGACGTGTTTGGCCAAACACCAAGACATGAAGCTACTTCTCTGTATTTAAGGAGTCGGAGATAAACCTTAAAACGATAAAGCGCACATGCTGTATAAATCTGTCAGTTAATTGCTAGGCCAGGAGACAAAGAAAACAATTAGCATAGGGTTTACCCTGTTCATATTTAATGTGTCACATATAGTTTGCGCAGCGATATAATGATTTATTATGGAATCCTGAGCACTGAAGGATGTGCATGTACTAAATGCCTTTACAGCTTCCTGTTGGCTGTCGTTTTTTACCTAGAGGGCATTCTCAGTTTGAAAATGCCGTCAACCAAAACATCCATTGTGTGCCCATATAAAATACAAAGAACTGAAGCAGAAAGATACGTACGTCCTCACATCATGCAAGAGAGCGAGAACAGCACCTGACCGCCAGAGGGACAAATCCTGACACACCTCTTAAACCACCACGTCTCCACCTGGTCCTCGATCTGCTCCAGCAGCCTGTTGCAATCGAAGTCTGAGCTCTCACACACCGACTCCACGATCTCTAAGAGCCGCGTCTCACTGCCAGGGACGGGGACGGGGACGGGGGGGGGATACGAAAAGGAAGCACATTGCTGAAGTGCTACATTTCCATAACACACTCACAGACACCGAGCGAGAGGCTCAGCCTGGTCGGGGCACCCTTTGTGACTTTTCTACATGTTGTGGATCTAAAAACAACTTACAAATTATGTCAGGAGCTCAGAGCTACTGACATACTTTTACAAACAATCACGTACACTCCTGAACTGGTCATACCAGAAGCTAGCTGCCATGTTTCAGATACATAAAATCTGGGTTGAACATGAACGCTAACACTCACTAACACTAATGCACATTAAATGCCTCATACGCCATTTAACAAGGCTGAATAACTACAGGTTCAGCCTACCTCCTTGCATATTTAGCAAGTTTCTCCTCCTCCCAAGCGGTGTTCCCGCCCCCAAAGTTCTTATTGGCTGTTCGCTCTATGCCCTGAAAACAGATTGGTCAACTGGTCAAAGGATGCTGAGACTGCGCCTCAAAAGGCAGCTAAACAGCCCGGGCAGGTCGGCAGATGCGTCGGTACCTTAATGAAGTTTTCTGTGAGTTTGCGGCACGTCTGGCAGGGTGCCGTCTCCACACGCACCACAGAGAGCACGGAGCACAGCACTATGGCCAGGTGGAAAGGCCAGGAAGACCGCATGGCTTACGTGCGTCGCAGAAGGAGGCGGCGTCACTTTCTTCCCTGAAGAACACTGATATCTGGCAAACTGTGAAGAGATGAGCACTCTGGGGGGGAAAAGCAACACTGAATCAGACACATAGAATTATACAATATATTGCCAAAAGTATTGGGACACCTGCCTTTACACATGCAGGCTGTCCACAAGGATTAGGAGTGTGTTTATGGGAATTTTTCACCATTCTTCCAGGAGAGCATTTATGAGGAAAGGCACTGATGTTGGACGAGCAGGCTTGGCTCACAGTCCCCGTTATAATTCATCCCGAAGGTGTTCTATCGGGTTGAGGTCAGGGCTCTGTGCAGACCAGTCAAGTTCCTCCACTTGCTCATCCACATCCTTATGGACCTTGCTTTGTCCACTGGTGTGCAGTCATGTTAGAACAGAAAGGGGCCATCCCCAAACTGTTCCCACAAAGTTGGGAGCATAAAATTGTCCAAAATGGCTACGAATGCTGCAGCATTAAGAGTTCCTTTCATTGAAACTAAGGGGCCAAGCTCAACTCTTGAAAAACAACCCCACACCAGAATTCCCCCTCAAACTTTACACTTAGGACAATATGCAGTCAGGCAAATACCGTTCTCCAGGCAACCACCAAACCCAGATTCGTCCATCGGATTGCCAGACAGAGAAGCGCGATTCGTCACTCTAGAGAACACGTCTCCACTGCTCTGGAATCCAGTGGCAGCTTTACACCACTGCATCCGACGCTTTGCATTGCATGTGGTGATGTAAGACTTGGATGCAGCTGCTCAGCCATGGAAACCCATTCCATAAAGTTCTCTACACACTGTTCTCGAGCTAATCTGAAGGCCACATGAAGTTTGGAGGACTGTAGCTATTTACTCTGCAGACAGTTGGTGACTTCTGCACACTGTGTGACTCAGCATGCATTGTCCCTGCTCTGATTTTACGTGGCCTACCACTTCGTTTCCAATTTCTTCCACTTAGTTATAATACAAAACAACTGACCGTGGAATATTTAGTAGTGAGGAAATTTCACAAATGGACTTATTGCACAGGTGGCATCCCATCACAATACCACGCTTGAATTCACTGAGCTCCTGAGAGTGACCCATTCTTTCGCATGTGTTTGTGGAAGCAGTCTGCATGCCTAGGTACTTGATTTTATACACCTGTAGCTATGGAAGTGATTGGAACAGCTGAATTAAATAATTTGGAGGGGTGTCCCAATACTTTTGGCAATATAATGTAGCTCTGGAATATTGCATTAGTTAATTTTAGTCGAATAGTTTTTTTTGTTTTTGTTTTTTTTACAAACGTGGAAATAACACAAATCTGGTCCACTTAAATAGATGCTACATCCAAATAGCCGACGACAATCTTCAGCTCGGTGTCACCTAGTGATCGATCACCATTACTACTACACTTGACTTCATACCATGTGTTTAAACATCGAAAAGGGTGCATATTGATTTTTAAATTTATAGACTAAACCTCATTAAACTTCATTTACAATCTTTAAAAATAGTGTTCCCTTTCTGCGCGGCTCTACCAAATTTCGAGTTCTCAGCAACAGTCTCAGACTACAGATTAAGGGTGTGGGCGAACTGACCCGATGGTACATGCGACCAAAGCAGCTAGGGAAGGGGGTGGGATGACCGACCAGCTGTTCTCCGCATCTATTACGGGTGTTGCAAGCACTAGAGCTGGCCTGGCGGTAGTCACATTTATTATTATCATTATTATTATTATTATTATTATTATTATTATTAAGCTTACGAATTTTCGTGAAACAGATCTGCGAAAGAGATCCAACACACCTGCTGTAATATATTTAGAGAGACAGAGCTTGCATAAGCTAACGTCCACACGCAGTCAGTTTCCCTGGGAAGATGTTCAGCTGCCTACTCTAATTCCCACATCCAAAATCAGTATAACGTCATCGAGGGTTCTTGAACATTCGTAGCTGCACACCGGTAAACTGTTCGTCTGCATGTATTTATTTCTGCTCTAAAGAACGCAGATGACGGACAAGCCCGGGGATGATACAGCGGGTCCCTAGCAGCCGCGGAGGAAGGGGGCGCCGTGATTAAACGTGAGCTGACCCCGGGCTGTCCTACCTTCGGCTTTGCTCGGGCTCTGATGATCTCAGCACATGTGCGGGCGACGCGGTGCCACTCCTCACAGATGGAAGACTCCGGCTGCACGGCCCGTCGTTCCCGCACCACCAAGCGCCCCCGCTACCCCGCTTCGCCGTATCTTCGGCCAGATTAAACGACTACCTGCGCTTCTCGTTGCTTCTGTCCCGTCCGCAGAAGCGGCACTGGCGCCCCGCCCTAGTTCCGCCGGGACGTGCCGCCTTAGCCAATTGTGGACCGCGGAATACGGCGGAGGCGGGACTCGACCTACGGTCGTGGATGACGATTTCGGCAGCTCGCCGCGTCATTGGTCCACGTAGCGGCTTCCAAATAGGAAAAGTCCAAATGGTTCTTCCAGACGCAAGCTTTAGGTCGTAGTTGCACTTGTTCAGGATGAATGTCCAGCCTTCCGGCCCCAACAAATGACAGGAAATATATGGGTTTTGTTTAAGAAAAAGATGTGTATTTAGTATCAGTGTGTTCTGTAGCCACACACAAACAGAAAGGTTAAATATTACAATGAAGCCCTATTTTTTGAACATTTTTAAAATACAGATGTGGGATCTGGTCATGGGCCAGAATATTTTAAGGATTGTGTGTTACTGATATGGCAAGAAATAGGGCATCATTTTTAGCGTACTGGCACCCGTTACCCCCCCCCCCCAAAAAAAAACAAAAAAACCACTAACTAGTGTTGCCATGTTTTGCATCAGTGGCACAGCACCAGTTTTAGCAGTGCTATGTCTGAAAGCGGGGCTGATTCTATATATTCCAAAAGTGTGACTTATCTATGGTGTATAGATACATAAGATTTTAATAAAAACGACTCCCACACTGTGTATGTGAAGTTTGCTTGCTTTCCTTGTGTCACCTGGGTATCTTATCAGCTCCCCTATAGTGTGAGTCTGGGCAGCAGATTCCTCCCTCTTCCTTTCACTCCCCAGTTAATCTGCATCTCCCTACTGTTTCCAAAAGTACCTGATCCTGCTCACATTTCAGCCAAACAAAAGAGGCACAAAAGACAAAACAAAGATGATCTGAGCGCTGTACATTCACAGTAACATGAGCAATCAACAAAATCTGTTACAAAATGTAATACTAATTACTTTTTCAAATAACAAAAGATGTCTTGCGGGCAATAAGGATTTCCCAGTATAAGATACTGGCACACGCTGTTACACTTGGTAGACAATTATCTAAATTCAGTTACCAACCCTAAAAGAAAAAACTGCGAGGAGATTCAGTGTTGATGCCAACAAACTGAAAGTCTTTCAGAAAGGCAACACAAATAGCTCATGGACAAACCTTCAACTTATCATCATACCAATATTCTCATTTATAAAAAACAATATCATAATACAGTTTTGGATATAAAAGAAGAAGTCAACCTGCCTGCATTTGGCTATGTACAAACATACAAATATTTAAAAGAGTGGCTGTTTCAGGACGAGGTGTGTCCAACTAGGGGGTAAAAAACGGCCTTTTCCGGCTGGATGTGTCCATGGCACTCAGCTAGCTCTCATCCAGGTGGAGAGCTCTGATAGCGGGGGCAGAGGAGGGCACTTAGGCACTGGGGCCAGGGCGCAGGTGAGCTGTCTCCCACAGCGTTCCTTGTAATGACCTGGTGCCACCCTGGAAGCGCCTGGAAAGCCAGTGCCTATGCAGCCCCCTGGCCTTGTAGAGGCCCAGTGCCCACACCCACAGCCTAGCCTTCAGTCTTCCCAGCCAGGAGCCAGCCCACCCACAGGGCGCCACCAGCTCCATCAGGAAGTCCAAGCGCTGCGAGGGTAGGCTGTACAGGGACAGGCCTTGGAAGAGCTCGGGGAAAGGGTGACCACTTGCTGGGGCCGTAGGGGGCAGAGAGTCGAACTGCACCAGTGCGAAACGCCTGCCGGCCAGACCCTGCAGCTGGTCCGCCAGAATGCAGCTCAGCGCCGCCACAAATACGTCCGGGTACGGGTGGGAGAAGGGCCGCCTGCCTGTGTCCTGCAGCCAGGCCTCAGCGAGCTCCCAGGCCGTCTGCGTCACAATGAGCACAGCCTTGCCGCCCTTCCGCTGCAGATTCTCCAGCTGCGCGTGCAGCCAGGGCACAGCTCCCAGGGTACACAGCTCGCCTCGGCTCCACAGGTCCCCACTCACGCTGAAGCCTGCCGCCGACAGCATGGAGCCCAGCCGGTACACCAGGCCCGGCAAGGCCGGCTCCGTGTCCGGGGGGAACAGCAGCACCACGTGGCCCCGGTCCGCATCTCCTGCGACGGGGGAAGAGAACGTGAGCTGGCACCATGTTCATTCACCTTGCAGACATGCACCTCAATGCGCATCAAGCTCATATGGATATCAGCGTCCGTGTCAGTGCTCACGCTGAGTGGCCCTTCATGAGAGAGAAAGGAGGAGGAGCCAGGGGATTGGCCAAATAAAGGTGTGTTTAAATCCAAGCCCGACAGGAGCCGCTGACAATCAAAGCTCCGTGGTTACCAAGAAGGATAAAAGCAGCCATTACTTGACATGATTATCCTTGACATTTCATTATATTTACTATTGTTATAGCAGCACATATTCAGGTACCATTTTCTACCCCTGACGTACAGAAATGATCATTTATCCTTTGTACTGTAGAATTCTGCAGCAGAACAGGTAAATGAGGCAAAGATTCAAATTGTTATTTTTTTCTTAAACTTTCCTTTCAATGTATGATATATATAAGCCATCTTAGAAGATCCATTATATATACACTATATGGACAAAAATATTGGAACACCTGGCTGTTATCTTTATGGACCTTGCTTTGTGCACTGGGACACAGTCACGCTGGAACAGAAAAGGTCTTTCCCCAAACTGTTCCCACAAAGTTGGAAGCACAGAAATGTCCAAAATGTCTTCGTATGCTGAAGCATTAAGATTTCCCTTCACTGAAATTAAGGGGCCTAGATCAACCCTTGAAAAACACCCCCATACCATTATCCCTCCTCACCAAACTTTACAGTTGGCACAATGGAGTCAAGCAACGTAACATTCTCCTGGCATCTGCCAAACCCAGACTCGTCCATCAGACTGCCAGACAAAGAAGCGTGATTTGTCACTCCATAGAACACGTTTACATTGCTCTAAAGTCCAGGAGTAGTGTGTTTTACAGCACTCCATCTAATGCTTGACATTGTCCTTGGTGATGCGAGGCTTGTATGCAGCTGCTCGGCCATGGAAGCTCATTCCTGAAGCTCATTCCTGAAGCTCCCGGCACACAGTTTCTGTGCTGGAGTTAATGCCAGATAAAGTCTGGAGTTTATGCACTGTGCGCCTCAGGAGTTTCTATTGTTCCTAAAAGCCAGAGGTGGAAATTCCAGGTTCAGAAAGTAAAAATCCAGTCCAAGATTTTGTTTCAACCAACCATTTTAGCTTAAACAGTCACAGACACAGAGAATTCAGATGCTTGGTTGAAGCAAAATCTTGGACTGGATTTTTACTTTCTGGGCCTGAAATTTCCACCTCTGCTAAAAGCTGCCACTTTGCAATAATACCACTTGTAGTTGACTTAGGAATATCTAGCAGGGAAAAAAATTCACAAACTGACTTATTGCAAAGGTGGCATCCTATGACAGCACCATACTTGAATTCACTGAGCTCCATAGGATGACCCATTCTTTACCGAATGTTTGTAAACCTGAAAGCATGGCTAGGTGCTTGATTTTATATATCAGTTACAATGGAGTCAGGGTCGGTGCCTGGCCAACCCTGTTCTATGTCTCTTATCCCCTTTTGGCCAGCAAATGCTCACCTCCTGCTTCACCTATGTCTTCTTGTTCCATGGCCTTGATTGGTTGACGTTTTTGATGGTCCACACCTGCCCCTTGTTAGTCCTCATTAGCTGTGTATTTAAATGCCTGTCTGTGTTCATTTCCCTACTCAGCTGTTGTTCATGTCACTGTGTGTTTGAAGCTCTGCTTGGTTTCCTAGTCCTGCTCCCTGGTTCACCCAGTTGTGTTTCTTTGTGGTTCCTTTAGTTAATTTGTATTTTTCCCTGTTTGTTTGCCCCCTCGTTCTCTCTTTATTTGTGATTTATCCCTTTGTGTCCTGTTTTTCTTTGTGTTTGTCTTGAAACATCTGGACTAATTTGCCTGCCCAGAATAGGATTAAAACTAAAGTTCAAGATGTTTCAAAGGAAGCTGGGTGGTAATGTCTACTAGAAATGAATTCTGCGTTAACAGAGACAGTTACTCATACTCATATTCCAGCCCATAGAGAACTGAGGCTTGATTTGTTCCTCTGTCCTTTTCTTTTTGCAGGAAACACAATGATGAAAGCTGGTGCCCCATTCCATCTGAATGTCTGTTCTTTATCAAGGAGGAGTCATAAACTCTGAGCACATTCCCAAAATATCTTAACTTTATATGCAAGGGACACGGACAAAGCCCCGATCATTTAGTCTGTCAATGTTACCAGCATGGGAAGATGTAAACTGTATTTTAAGAGGAATTCATGTAATTTTCATGCCTGCAGAAATGCTTCTTATTTGAACCATATAATGAACTAGCACAGCATTACATTTCCTTTCTAATGTGGGGGTTCCTTTATGGTTTAATGCGGAATGCCAGATCCGCAGACCTCCTTTCATTACTAATGAGGTTCCATGCATGAATCCTGTGTTACTTGAGGTACAACTGGTCATTTGAGTTTGGGGAAAAATTAGGAATATGTCTTATGGTCTTTTTACCAAAGTGTGTACTAAATATCTGATGGATAGGCATCGTGGTGTTGAGAGGTATAGACAGGGTTTATAAGAGGTTAATGGCGAGAAGTTCTCATTTGGCACTGATACTGCAAAGTACAGCTGCAACAAATAATCAATAACGTTGATAATACTTGGTGATAAAAATAGCTGAGAATGAATGCTGTCATCAATTTGTTGCACTTTTGAATTTTGCTTTTGAAAATACTGCCAAAATACCATATATCACAATATAAAGTTCAATTCATAGCAAGCTTAATATGCTGGAGACAGAAGATATTTGTTTCTATCCCACTTTATCATTTTAAACAGAAATTCTCTACACTGAAGTTTTTATTATGAGTGTGGCTTAAAAATATCCCTTGATGTTTTTTGGATAAAGCATTTGTGCTTTTATTTAAACCCTGTGTTTTGGGTCAACTGATTAGTCAATGATCTGATCACAGGATTAATCGTTTATCAAAAGTATCATATTTTGCAGCCCAACGGCAAAGCTGTTGTCAAGAGTTTTGTTGGTACAGTGGTTTCTACAGTAACATGAAAAAGAAGCTTTTGTTACATACCATCAAAACCACAGCAAATAGCAGCTCACTCAGCATGGAGCCACCTGTGCATACCAATAAAATCAAGCTCCCTTGCAGCTCATCATGGCAAAATGCATGCCAGTCGTGATTTCGATTAGCACGCACTGCTAGCCCAAAGCTACAGGAGACCATCATGCTACTTTCTGGTGAGCAAGCCTACACACCAATCAAACAGTGAAAACCACAGGAAGACCCTGCAGTACAGGGCCAGATATTAGTCAGATAACCTTTAGATAAGTCTGTCCCCTCAGGCAGGAGACACATGGGTGAAAGTGACATTTACAATAGGTGAGGCTAAGTACACAAATGGGATAGTGCATGTATGGCTCAGAACAAAAGATTTCATGTCACATGCCACATTTTCCTGGAATGGCACAGGTGTCATGATTGTGCAAGAATTGTGTAGATTGTGCATGGGTGCAGAGATGATGAGAATGTGATGAACAAGTCTGGTTGGGTTGCATGCACTGGTACAATGTAATGCTGCACCCACCATATGACAAAACATGGATCTCGGTTGGCAACTAGCCAGACTGGCACGCAATCCAGTCCTACATTCCAGAAATGGCCGCCCATCTGCCGCAGCCAGGTGTTATGTGGGTGTCCCCTTGACCTGGTCCGGCTGCTTGGGTCCTCAGCAATGAGGATCCTGTGAGCTGAATCACTCAGGGAATTGCCACATGGCTGTAGTACCGAAACTGATGCTCCCTCATAATGCAGGTAATGTGCCTCATTCGGGACTCCCTGAGCAACTGCTCGTTCAACACAAAGTCAAACCAGCAGTACCCAAGGATTCTCCAAAAAGACACTGTACCAAAGGAGTTAAGTTTTCATCTCAGTTCACTGAATAGCGTCCACTGAATAGCCATACTGCAAAATAGGGAGCACCAGGACTCTAAAGACTTGGACCTTCATCCTCCTACAAAGATATTAGGATCGCCACACACCCTTTTCCAGCGACTGCATGATCCCCCATGCTCCCCCAAAGTCACAGGCAGTTGACATCCCCTTCACAGACAGACACACTGTTGATGGCTGTACCCATGAGGTCACTAAAGGCTTGGAACTTGGTTTTTATCCAGGACACTCACAAGCCCAGACACTCAGACTCCTCGTTCAGTCTCTCGAGAGCCCCAATCAGAGCCTCCATTGACTCTGTGAAGATCATAGCATTGTCGGCAAAATCAAGATCAGTGAATCTTTCTTCACCAACCGATGGCACACAACTACTTGACCCAACGGCCCTACCCAACACCCAGTCCATGAAAGCACTGAACAGAGTAGGAGCAAGAACACACCCCTGATGAACCCCAGAAGCAACTAGGAAGAACACAGAGGTTCTGGCTCAACTCTGCACAGCACTCACAGTACAGGTATACAGGCTGACCATAACGTTCAACAACTTTGAGGGAATCCAACGAAGTCTCAGGATGTCCCACAGGGCAGCATGATCAAATGCTTTATGAAAATCAACAAAGGCTGCAAAGAAACTTTGCCAATATTCACACCCTCAGTGCCAGGATGTGGTCTATGGTAAACTTCTTAGTCGTAAAACCAAATTGTTCCAGTCACTGGTAGGCGAACAAGTGATCACGGAACCTGTTCAGGATGACCCGAGCAAAGACCTTACCTGGCATTGAGAGCAGTGCTAACCCCCTGTAGCTGCTGAAATCCAGGCGATCACCCTTCCCTTTCCAGATAGGGATAAGTCCCATTTTCCAGTCAGTTGGGATGATGCCCATCTCCCAAATGGAAGCAAAGTTCTAGCAGGAGGATCAGCTTTAAACAGCTGCTCAAAGTAGCTCACCCAGCAGGTTACAACTGCAATGTCATCACGTGCCGAGGACAGATTTGGACGTGCATAATGCTTTGATTCCTCTGTAAGCAGGACATGGGTCGCTAGACCATAGATGGTGTGTTACTTGCTCACAGATCCCTCTAACAAATGCCTCCTTATCTGCCCTTAGAGCCCATACAGCCATCTTTCTCAGTTCCCCGTACAGAACAGAGTTGCCATCTAGCCATGCACTGCGACTACTCTCAATAATATCCAGGGTGCCCTGCGAGACAAAACACCTCCTTCTGGGAACACCGGCAACACCAACACAACCCTCTGCAAACTTCAGGGCCTTGTCATGGAAGGTCTCCCACATCAGATTAGAATCGGCAGTCGAACCCAAGTCTGCAAGCTCCTCACACAAACCCTGTGCAAACTCATTACAAACAGCCTGAATCTTGTCAGGTTCTGTCTCATTCTCCTAGTAGTTGCTAGCCTCCTGCTCCTGGTAACCCTCATCTTGTTGTTGTTTAGCCTTAGTTATCCTTTTCAGTTTTAACCCCTCGTGGTCTGGTTTTGTTTTTGTATTTCTAGTGTTTTTCTGTTCTAATGAGCCCCGTTTTGTCAAGTCAGTCGCAAGTGGGTCCTCCACCTTCCTATCTGCCTGCATCATGCCTTGCCCTGGTCCATAACATGCCACTGAAATGCAGAGTTTACGAAGCTTCTCCAACAACAGAGGAAAATGGTCAGATGTTCCATGTGCCGACTCATGGTTCTGCCTCAGATTAGAACCCGAGAGCTGCCGTGCAGTGGGTGACACCTCAGCTCCACTGCAGTTCTGATCCCCAACAGGTCTGCCCCCATTTGCTTTCCGGTGGTTTCAACTCTCCCGGGAACGAGGCTCCCAAGGGCTTTTCCCCCATCCCATCCTCTTCATGTTATGTGCGGCTTTCCTGTGGGGGGCAGCGGCAGTGCTACCCCCGTAGACAGCAAAGAAGTGTCCTGTTGCCTGGTCGGAGCTGGGTGAAGTTTTTATGGTGGCTGGGGTGCTAATTCTACCACCAACCCTCAAATTTTTCCCTGCAAGTTGGAGGGCTGTTTGCAGGGCTGGATGCAGTTATCATACCCAGGATGAACACAATCCCCTTATTCATCCAAATGATCACTGATCATCATCTTTTGGAATGTTAATTAAGATGAATTACTTAGTCAAATATAACCTTCACATGACTTGTGGTCAGAAAGTCCAATAAAATAATAAATATTGTCCATTGAAATTGATGACCATTCATACATTCACATGTTGACTGTTTGTTGGGCTGATTTGAACTGTCTGCCCTCTGGCATACTGTACATTTTTCACAATGGAAAGTAAATTCCAACGGATGTGTTAACTCTACATGCTTGAAGAAGAATGGTGAGTGATATGTAAGATGCAACCGTGAACATAGTCTTAAGCCATGCAAACACAAATCCTTGTAGCATAAAGAGAAAAACAGCATCGGCACATGCATGTAATCTAGCCCAAATCAGTTTTTATTATCTAATGTGCAATCTCTGCAAAATAGTGTAGAAAGTAACCATAGGAACAAAATTAGATGTTTTTCCACAGTGCCTTAAGGTTAATTACTCTGTATATAATAATGCATGATCACTGCACAAGTGTGTGCAGTTGGCACTCAGACAATGGACGTAAATGTACCATACTCACTCACCTTTGAGGCTGCCATGCAACACATGGGCTACAAGGACGATCAGGCAAATTAGCAGTAAGGTAACAAGGACCAGTAGAGTCCAGTTCCTCCTAGGGGCTGGAAGGGTGTAGTGTAAGAGTTAGTTTTTGTGCAGAGTGTATCACACTGAGAGCCATTGATCTATGTGACATACTAAGCTGTGTAGTGTAGTGTGAGCATTGTTTTCTTAGGTCTTTAAGAAAACATCATGTTAACACTGGTATATGAAATGATCTTCACATAGTTTAAAATGCAATTATGTACCTTCATAAGTACTTGCCCTAAGCTTTAGTGCAGTGTTTCCCAATCTGGTCCTCAGGGACCAACAGTCAGTCCATGTTTTTGCTCCCTCTGAGCTCCCTGCCAGACAGTCAACTTTTTGCCCCCCCCCCCAGCTCAAAATGTGGACTGTCTGTGGGTCCCTGAGGACCAGATTGGGAAACACTGCATTAGAAGATGAGACTTGCAAACCCACCTGCAAAAGGACACTGGATGGCCAACACGCCGCTCATCCTGTATATTTTTGCCTGCGCAGAAAGCCAGGGAGTGGTTAGACTCAGCTTAACGAACCCACAAGCCAGAATTTAGACAAACAGGAAAGAGAATCTTACCGCTACGCAGAGCATGGGATGGGGAAGTACATCAATAAATTCTCCTTTTCCCTGCAAAGGTTGACAGATGTCACCAGATGCCAAAATGTTCAGATTAAAGCACATACTGTCATCAATCGACTTACGTCCTATTGAGTGACGTCCACTCCCTCATAATTATGTACGAGGTCCCATAAGAGCCTTAATCAAATTTAGCGAGAGACGTCCGAAGCAGACGTTGTGGACGTTAGCAGACATATTTTACCATGTGAGCGGCATATGGCAATGGACAAAACAAACCGACTGTGCTGCCACTATAGGGGTTTGGTTAAATGTGTGTGATATTGTTATCTTATGTTATACAGTATTTTTGACCTCTCCTGTATAATGATCCACTTTGATTTATGTCCTTACTTCTGCAGGGTAATCCAGATGTAAGACAGATACCAGTAATCATTTTAACTCATTATTTCTTTTCCAAACTTAGTGAGATGAGGAAATAAATAAAGAGAAATTCATAAATGAATCGAAGCCGACGTATTTTTTATAGCCAGAATAGGTCATTGAAAGCAACTGTTCGTAAAAACAATGCCGCTTGGCTGGTGCATTTAAAAGTCTTATTTAAACACATACCAGATACTCTCGGGAACTGACAGACCATTCCAAGTCCTGGTCTTTCCTCAAACGCACCCTGGAGCCCTGCATCTCTTTACAGCCGCGCAGAGCTCCTTCCACTGTCTTTTCACACAACCACAGCTCAGCCTCCACCCTGCAGGGGGAGCTAAGATTCCAAGTGAGCACTGTGTCACCCCCATTGCTCTGAACGGGCTCCACAAACAGCGAGACGTTTTTCCAGGTGTTGTTGAAAAACTCTAGGAGAAAAGTATAATGCCCATGAAACATTTAATATGTCCAGGTCTCTTTCTGATGGTTGTTTAATGACAAACATACACCATGAACACATCAGGTTTTCTGTTACGATTTCATTGCTTTACTCTTGGCCAGATCTGTTTGGTAACTGAACCAGCCGAAAAGTTACTAAGCAGACAAAGCTCTTACCTTTGAGGTCACTGAACGGACAGCTGTTCACACGCAAGGCATCCATTTTCATCCACCATGCCTTATTCCAGAAGGGAGAAGGAACAGTGTGTGTTAAAAAAAAACATATTGTAAAAAAACATAAAACTTGCACCAGTTAGTCTTTTCCACAATATACTGCATGTTCTGACTTGTGGAGTATCAATCTCTGGAAAAGGCCATATAACTTCAGATTACTAAGGTCTAATCATACACACTATAGAAATCATTAGAAGGTTACAGTACCTGAATACAAAGACAGGGAGTAACAGAATGTAACGGAATTGAAAAATTCTCTTTTTGATCCTGCAAACAGAAAACACCAAAGTAAAGATAATCTGCAGAAAATTCTGCCACAGAACAAGGTCTCAGGATTAAAGGACAGAACTGACCCATTTTTGATATATGCAATCTCCTGTTTCTTCGTATTTCAGACACATGGACAGTGAAGCCGAGGTGTCTTTGTCCTCATTGGCCAGGTACACTATGGCCACTTCCTTCGTCCAGTCAATCACAGTGTGCAGCTTTGGAACTGACAGGCAAACCACCCAATCAGCAGGCAGAAAAAAATGCTCAGAAGGAGTGTGAACTTCTTGGGTGAAAAGTAGGATGTTACATGTTTTGGTAAATATGGCATGAGCTACCAGGGTACATAATTATCGCAGCTTTTAGTACTTATTGTCTATAAATCTAATTATTTAATCACAACATTAGCAACATCAAAATGCCATTATGACAATGAATAATTTTTTGGAATAATTAACCCTGCCAGGTTAAATTACAAGCATGCAGATTCACCTTTGATCCTGACAACTGGTGAACAGTAAATGTGAGTGTGGCCACTTACCATCACACTCTTTCACAATTTCCCTGTGGTCTGTGAAGCAGACTGAGAGGGAAAGAGGGGAAGTTCTGTGTTTTTAATTCATCGGGCTCTGTTTTCTTCACATCCCAGAATGGCAGCAATTCCCACAATAACTTAATAACTTAATAGACAGGTATAAGCTCTAGAGCAGCTCTCCTAATACCAGGCACTACAGTTAATTAAGTGTTGAGAATTCTTAGCATAACAGTTCGCAGCCTTCTGTCGGCCAATCAAAATGACATCAGGGGCTTTGCTAATGTTTCCCTGTCACATATTATGAAGAAAGGAGTGATCATACCTTCTTGCTGAGAGGGCAACACGATGCTCTTGTTCACAGCCTGGACGGACACAAACAGATGGCTTCCGAAGGCCAATTTATCAGATACCACCAGGGACAGCCACATCTGGAGCAGAGAGGAACTCAAGAGCTATAAGCTCAAGTGCAAACTAAAGTGCAAATTAGACACTCGGCACTACCAGAAATATAATTTATGTATAAATAACACTCTTGTAGTCTGAAGAGCCACGTAGTGTACACAGAGACTTGGGTACACTTCATAGAATTATGAGCAGTGAGTAGATTAGTAGTAACTGTGTTTACCTCGGGCTCATCGGGGTCCTCCAGTGCAGCAGGGCTCAGAGTGAACTCTATTATCTTGCATACACTGATAGAGCTCGCAGTGGTGTGACACACTACGAAGGACAGAACTATAAAAAAGAAAGAGGCAGCAAACAGTAAGGGTGTGCTTAATACACCCCCACGCGTACCACCCACACAATTATGTGAAGAGTGAGACAGCTGCAGCAGAGGCAGGTTCTGACTCAGACCTGACAGGTGGGGGGGGGAGCTGGGTTGACTGTCATTGCTCCCACTTCCCGTGTCCCTCACGGTGGCGCCGTACTCATCGCTGTGTCCCCCTGATCCCTCTGATTCACCATAGGACCCTGTAGCAGACAATGCACCAATCAAGCATGAGACGATATGGCTGCCTTGAGCATCATTAGCTAAGAGTTTACAATACAAAGGGACCAATAGGGGGCACTAACATTACCACCAATCACACAAATGACTAGGGTGGTCACAGGTACATACATCTCTGGTCTATGCCTTTTGTCAGCCCCACCCCCACTAATGACATTCCATCAATAAAAATAATCAGGCCACTATAAAGTACATTTCAGCTTGAAATGATTAATGTGATGCAATATAAATGAGAATAAAGACCCCGCATAAGACTCATAGAGTTCTATGAGTGACAGAGCGCACGTAGTTTCACAATCATCACACGCTCATGCACATGGATGTGCCTGGTACAGTGGAGCTTTGAATCACTACCAGAAACGAGAGCTGATAACGAATTGTAAGAAAGTCAAGTTGACAGCAAAGACTATTAGAAGTTAACCAGAGCATTAAATGTATAAAAACCTTGGCATGACAACAGAACATTTCTGACAATCCTATTAAGCCGTAACACCTTGTAAGGTACAAAAAAAACTTTCTTTTTAAAGAGAGCTTGATTGCACTGCACAATGGACAAGGCACTAAATTAGCAACTTGACACCTAGAGAAAGGAGACGTGTGAAGTCTTTAAGTGTGCTTAAGTGACTGATACTGCTTTCAAAACATCGAAGCAGCTAGAAAATGAATGTGCTCCCTTCAGCACAGTCAAAAAGGCCGTCCTCAATGCAGGACAACCTAGAGCTGGACAAGAAGAATGAAGGAAGGGCCTATATGACTACACACACTGTGACATTGTTTGATTATTCGGCGTGACAGCAAGCAGCCATATAAGCAGGTAAATGGCGACAAAACTTGGTCATACAAATACAGAGTAGCACTCACTGAGCTGTTTGAACAATATTGGGGGTTGTACTCATGTTGATATGCACAGAGAACATGTTTCACATTGTCAGAAAAAAAGTTCCAATTTGTACCTTTGAGGGTACAATTACTTATCACTGGGGCTGTACCCTCGAGGGTCTGCAAGTTGTACCATAAGCTGTATGTAAATGTACCTTTTAAGGAACATTTTGTACCATTGGGGGTACATTAATTTGGTTTGTACCTTAGGGCACAAAACTATACCAGGGCTGTACCCTTTTATTCTGACAGTGTAGAGTACTTGTGAATTGTTTAATCGAATAGTCAGTCTGTAGCTGTCAGACATGATGCATGTTTGGTAGGCTGGACAGAAAGGTGGATAGACAGACAGACAGACAGGTAGACAAACAGATGCACAGCAACCCTGGTGGTCGATGAGGAGCATATGAGTGTATCGTGCATACAGGTATGAGCAGAAGAGGCCAGAGGAGGTGAAGCTGAGTGAAGCACAGGGATGGGGGTACCTTTGACAGTAAGGTAGATCTCTACACAGGGTCTGCAGTCCCGGCTGTCATGGCAGCACAACAAAGCTTTCAGCTCCAGTGTCAATATTGCTACAGGGTCAGATCCATATCCAGGCTGCTCCCCATCTACAGAACAGCACAGGATAGACACAGTCTCAGAGCAGATATATGTAACATACAGCAAGGCAGTGTTTCCTAGTGAATCCCTGTATTTCACATCCGTGTACATTCCAAGATTAGAGCACCTGATGTGAATTACTAGTTAATTTATTAGGTGTCAACAAGCAGATTCCAGAAAACATGTCTTTGTATTATCGCACGTACAATCATCTACAGAGCGACTGATGTGATCTCAGTGATGCAGAACAAACATGCTCCTTTTTTAGAGATCATTGATGAGTATCTACTAGGTTTTGTCTAATAGCTGTCCAAATTTTGAAGGTCGTTCATTCACAGAAGCAGCCATATGTGTGTGCAAATCGAAGGTTTTGCATTATCCCTTTACCCATCTGCTTAGACAAAGCTTTTATGTGAAGCGCTGGGCATTGTTTACACGTCCATGTCTTTTAATAGCCTTTTAAAAGTCCCTTCTGATATTTCAAACAGTTCTGTCTGCATGACATGACCAGCTTCTCGTCATGTGACACCACTCTCTGCCCAACTGTGTCTCCAGCAGCGTCCAGCCAAATCACTCTCAAGGCCAAAAGCAAACTTTCACTCACCCTTCACTGTGCACTCACGTATGTCCTGTGAAGAGACAAGTTACAGCCGGTTATGGTCACTGCATTGGGTTGGATACGCTTTAGAGACACAAAACTTACAATAGTGCATTTTTGTGGCACACACACGTGCACAGCCGTATACAAGACCCTGCGCAACACATAAATCCCATCAGTGTGTCTCCTCGCTCTTTACACTTGTACTCAAGTCCTAAGGCAGGGACAATGAATCAGGTGTCACAGCATGATGACTGTACTTATTAACAGCCACTGACATTAGTAACAACAACGTCGCACAATCACGTCATTTTGCTGAAAATTTTAATTTTGGTTTTAATAATAAACGAGCAGTGATAAACAGAGCTAGCTGCTCACTACGCAATGAGGAACACGTCGCTATCACAACAGTCGGATGAGTAAAGGGAGGACAGAATGACCCCATTCTTTCACTTCTTCATTTCTTTCATTCCTATAATAACCCCTTTGTCGGATATTAATCATAAAATAAATGCACAAACAAATAAATGTTGCAGTAAGAAATTTTATGTTGCGATTTTTAGTCTTCTGTTAGTAACAACAGGCCTATGTAATAATGGTTTTATTCCTTGTATTGCATATCACCATAAAAGTCTGCAAAATAATTCAACTATAAAAACAAAGGTATTACACAGGTAATACACAGCAATCTGTTCTGTTCAGTAAACATTTGACTTCCCATTTTTATATTAGTCAGTTATGCAAAACTCTGCTGTGGCCACCTCCCTACCTGTCAGCGATTCTGGTTCATTCCTGCAAGGTATTCTACGAGAATATTCTGTGGGACAAGATCTCTAAAACAACTGGAAAGCTGGTAGATTTTGATATTACACTAAAGAACTAAACCTACAACTTTTGTAAATGTTTATGTATCTGTTTGCACGTTTCTGCGGACGCGCGCACACACACACGGGTACGCGCATACTGCTACAGAACAGCGGCCCCCAACTATTTTCCCCCCTGGGCCAAATTCCATCATTAGGAACAAAAAGTCAAGGTCCACTACATCTGAAAATACCTACGCGGGGGTCCCCGTTGATGAAATTCGTATAAAATTCACTGGCCAGAGAGGGGTAAAATCGTATGGTGCAAACTCAATTATGTTTCTGTCCGGATGTGGATTTCACCAGTTGACCACCAAGAGGGACAGGCAAAAAGAAAACGCACATACATGCTCACACACAGCTACACGCAAATGCACACACGCTAACAAAGAAGCACCACAATGCATACACACATGCATGCGCACATTCCTCGCCCCCCCCCGCACGCCTGCATGCAAACCAACATCACATCTCATACAAGTAGGCAAATGAGTCAATGAGTCAGTCTGAAAAACGCACCACCGGAGAGAGAGAGAAACAAAATCAAGCTTTGTTTAGGTTATTTGTGGGTAGGAAACTCTGTACACTCTTCACAGTATTGCTGTTAGCTCAAGCTTCTTTTAGACCGGAGTAAAGAGTCTTTTCCCATCCATCCACCCATCCATCCATCTATCCATGCATCCATCCATGAATGTCAAACATGTTCAATAATCCAGAGCCAGGCCCAAGAAAGGTGCAGGTCCGTGGTACTCAAAGACATATTTACTCAATAAGAACTAAACACTGGACATGGGTGGATGGATGCTTGCAAAAAAAAATTTAATGATTAAATTAAAAAGGAAACATAACAATCGTGAAATTTTTGCAGTCACCACCTAAGCCTAAGGTGAGAAAAATGTGAGATTTATAATCTCGAAGCATTTAAAAGCATATCAACAATGGAATGATGGATAGGGCTTTTAAAACTCAGAACTTACCTGTGAACAGGTAAGATGAGTCTCGTGGTCCAACTCAATCGTTTCCAGGAGGACGGCAGCGGAGCAGAGCAGCACACAGCCAAGTGTGCAGAGGTGGACTGCCAGCCTACTCATGCTGTCAGAGTCGTCCCTGCAGCCAAGACTCAAACAGGTAGGGCTGCCTCGCTCTTTTGCCTAGTCTGTCTGAGGCACCTGATTCCTGGAGGTCTAAGACATTACTTTAAACAAGCATGGTGCATGTATACCATAACATGAGCCGTCCTGTTGTCTTGGAAGTCTTCCACTGAACAAGACCGGCTCCTACTACCTTCTAGTATAAAGGGAGATGTTATCCACTGAAGTGTGATAACACCCGCAAAAATTTGACTTGGCTTCAACGTCCTGAAACATGACACCAAATATCCAGGATTCTGGTTGTTGCCTGAAAGGGAGAGGGTGAGAGAGAGAGAGAGGGTGAGAGAGAGAGAGAGGGTGAGAGAGAGAGAGAGACAGAGACAGAGACAGAGAGTGAGTGAGTAATCAAACAACTAATGGACAGACATTAACCACCAAAATCATTCATTGACAAAATGTAAGGAGGATTACATAACAGAAGCTACATATACTTACCGTGTAAGTTTCTGTGTAAAGACACCCACAGAATAAGCACTAAACATAGTATAAATGTAGCCACAAGAACACGTTTCAGGTGGTGTCATTTTTAAGTTAATGTCATATACAGTAAACATGCTCTGTTTAACAAGGACATAGCTAAGGTTAATATAACGATGATTAATAGAAAAAAGATATTCGACCAATTTCTTTCAAATACACTGTAAATTAATATTTTAATTATTCTAATCTAATTAGAATAAAAACTCTGATTTTATTTACAGATTTTTTCAGGTGGAATACTATGTTTCACCTTACTGTACGTTTTATCACTAACTCGGAGAAATTAGAAAGAATAAACTGTAGTAGGCCTATAGCCTAACATGACATTTTAATCTGGTGAGAAAATGGCATCGGTGAAATAGGTGATAGTCACGTAAATGTAATTAAACAACTAAAATTCAACAAACTTAAACGGTGTGCCACTGATCTGCGTTAATTCAGTGCGCACTAAATTTCTCGTCGCCCCCCGCCCTCCAATATACTCAGTACATTTTGTCGGTGACCCACCGCACCCCCCATCCCCCTTGAAATATCTTTATTAGTTGACCTCTATGTATTACGCATTGGAAACTAATATTTATACGAGTTATGGGTAAGTTATGTACCAGTTATGGCACGAAACAACCTGTCCCCATATCACTCTCTCTGTCTCTCTCTCTCTCTCACAAACACACACACACACACACACACACACACACACTTGAAGACCGTCTTAGAGTTATCAGTTACCATGTTGGCGGACCTTATATTTTGGATTCTCCAGAAGACGGAGAAAGTCACAGTGACCGACTCCCAATGACATAGATGTGAGACATCATATACCCCGGTCTACGTTTTAAAACACTACATAACGTCAAATGTTAATAAGCTAAATTAATAAGACGTGAATTCCTGTCCGCAAGTAGACAGCGTGCTGTATTTAAACGATAATTAAGCAGTAACCGGTCAGATTCTAATTCAATTTTTACTTACCGATTTATGGACAAAAGACCTTCAGACCTTCTATTTAGCTGAACAACAGCCGAACAATCTCTCAATGGAGAAAAATAACCGAATCAAAATATCTACAGCAGATTGTAAGTCAATTAAATATAAGCTGTTCAAAGACATTATGTACGAAGAAAGGATGAGGGTCTAGGCATGTCTAGGCAAGGGTGTCCCGATTCTCGCCGCCCGTACTCGCTGCTGCTCAGTTCGCAGGAAAGCAGCGCGGCGAAGGTTGTTAAGAGCGGTCTAGCGTAGCACTGTGCGTAGTCGGGCGAAGATATTACTTCCTCCTGCGCAATTCCGTGACAACATCCTAATTCCAATTAATAATACTTCTTCAAAATTAAAGAGATTATTTTATTTTCCATGTAATATTTATATTCTGTTACAAATCTCTATAAAATTGGTTATAAAACACGGTCATTTAGACGCGTTTTAATTCTAAGCAGCATAAAAGTGTTTTAATACTGCATATTTCTATTTTTCAACGGCTTGCTGGGTCAGCATAGAAAAATGGCAATGACAAGAGTGCCGTAATGGGGGGGGGGGGGGGGGGGGGGGGGGGGGGG